GGAGACCCATTATTCACGCTCCACACCTCTATTTTCTCCTCATGTGATATGGTTAGCATTATGAACTTTAGGCAGTTCACCTTCAGAATTGCGTAAACTGATGATGATTTTGACATACTCATGCGTTTCTCTTAATTCACTCAACAAACCAACACACTGCAATTGGTCGAGCACGCAGCTGCATACCATTGCTCCATGCATTCGTTCAAAGGTGTCATTTAGAGCACGACTGAACATGTCAGAAAATTTGTCTGACAATAAAGAAGTTAATTTTACAATTCCTAATTCGACAGTAGGTAGGAGCTTATTTATTATGGGAGAGAATAGTAAAAGCGCTGTTTAGATTAAAGAACGAAAGCTTTAGAAGACCAGCTGTTTTTAAAAGTACGACAAATAAACACCTAGATAACAAAATTAAACTTCGCTTACAATTAGTGGACAAAGTGATCATTCTGTAGTTTCGTTAAAACCCAGTTCATATGGACAGAAATAGGGTCGTGAGTGCAGATTCCTGGTGTTATAAGATAAGAATAAACGATCCTGTTCCAGTGCATTGGGACGAGTTCAGAGTGCTCGATGGTTGAACAAGAACAAATGTCCGAAAGCCAAAGGTGAAATTTAGGTGTCGAAATATCCCATATAACTGACGCTATCTCTACTCATTGCGCAATCAGTCAGAATTCTGTTCAGGGGCACGTGCCTCCAAGCCTGGAATCCAGATGGGCATTACGATGACGGCGTATAGCCGAATAAACATGTCTTAAAAATCTGTGACATGAATTACTCTTGTTAAATAAGGCTTTGAGGGCCCTTTAAAGAGTTAAATTTCGGTGTTCCACTATCGTTAATAATGGTCGTGAAGCATAAATTAAGTCCATTTTAGTCGGTTAATTATTTGGAGGATTCCCAGTCACCAAGTGTTTGTCACCAAGTTAAAAACCTGAAACTGTATTTTAATAGAAGAAAATATCTTTTCATTTGTTTGTCCATGTTTACTATAATAAATAAAGTGAATTGTTTATTTTGCGGCTTAAGTGAATTTGCTAGGCTCTTAGGTGATGTTTCAAGGCTTTATGTAATTTCTGCCCGGAGGTACCACTATGCGTTTCTCCGTTGATGTTTTTTAATGATTTGGAAACGTGATCTTTATTTTTGACTTAGATTTGTGTTGGACTTGAACGGCTGATTTCAATACTGCTTCGTGTCTTTAATGCCATTCGAGCACCACCAAAATATGCCTCCCTTAGGTTTGATCATGTCTCTTTTCCATTTTTTTAGTGTAGATGCATACATTTATTTGACACAATCTAGCCCTAATAGCAAGTGTTTTCAAAATGATATTATGCTAGTTGTCTTGTCTTTATGCAGGATCAATTTTGGTTGAAATAAAAACCTGTAAAACAATGACAACGAACACAAAGCAGTCAAAAATCGCCGAGCGGTTATCCATCTTAAACAGACGTCAGCTGGGTGTGTTGAGTCGCTTGTATTTTATGAAAACTAATCTCGCTGACTCTGATACTCGTCATCCTTTCTTGCCTGGTGGTGATAAGGCTTTTGACAGTGCTTGGAAGGTTCTTTTGAAGAAATTTCCGAGTCTTGATACCCGATCTACTTCCACCCTTAACATTTTTTGTAATCAGAAGGAAATTTTTAAGCAAACATCTCTCCTGTACTACAACTTTGTGGATGTTTTGGAGGTGCAGGATAATGTTTTAGACCTGTTGCAACGGATTAGTAATGCGGGAATTCGTCTTGAAATCACTCTTAATTCGGATTTAACACATCTGTACCTCGAACTTACATCAAACTACTTTGCAGTGATGTATTTCCTTACTCGGATTCCCGACCTCAAAGCTATTCTCACGCTCTTTAACTTCTTGTTCGAGCAAGCAAATGGCAAACCCGAGCCTAATTTTTCCAGAATGGCCGAGCGTTTCGCTGAACCCCCTGAGATACTTTTAAAGCGTCTCCTGGAGGAATTTAAACCCTATGCTCCTGTTCTCTCACTAGCTTTAGCTTCCTTGAACGACTTCTTTATCCGACGAACTGTACGTGCGCAGAATTGGCGGGATAGCCTTTTTCTTAACATTCTTGCGGAGCCGCGCAAGATCACCCACACGGCACTGAGTGATCAACTAGCCTGTGAACTGCTCTCATATGAGGTAATGGAGCGCTGGGTTGTGTTTGGCTTCTTGTTAGTTGGTCCGTCAACTTCCGGAGACGGTGATGACGCTTTCACTCGGATTCGTCTTGCACTCAGAAATAGCTATGTTGTCGTTCTTTTTCGAGATGAAGTTATTCACGTACATAGTTTGTTAATCACTTTCTTCGAATCCGTTTGGACAGGAAAATCATCCTCCAAACGCCTTTCTGACATTAAAGAGGCTATGTCTATCGCTTACTCACAGGCTCCTGGGGCTCATTCTGACAGAAGAGCCTATCTGCGTTCCTCCCTGCGACAAATTCATTCAGTTTTATCAGATCAACCTGGCCTTCTTGGCCCAAAAGCCTTCATTGTATTCTGGGGACTTTCCTATGCTGCTGATGAAATTCACTGGCTTCTCCGACATTCCAACAACATGCAACCAAAAAAGAATATTAACGTTGAGGAGTTTGCTGATGTTGCTCTGCCTGAGTTGCTATACTACATAGAGGATCTTCGTCACCTAGTTAGACGCTACACTCCTGTAATTCAACGCTTTCATATTCAAATGCTTCCACTGTATGACGCCCCTGGACTAGAAGAATACCTTTGTCCATCTATTAATTATCTTCCCATGGAAGAGGTTGATATTTTCAACGGAATGCTGACTCGACTTCGAGAGGTTGAAGACCTACTAACCTCTAGTGCTCCTCGTCATTGCGAATTTGCAAGTCTTCGGCTTGATTGGCTTCGTTTGCAAGCAATTCTTTCAGCAAAGGATTCTCCACTCCCATTGGCTAATTGCCGTCGTCTGGCAGAGCATCTTCACTCCACAACCTTCCATACCCGTTTAATAGACCAAATCGAAGATCTCCTTCGTCAAGTGTCTGACCTCTCGGTGTATTACTTTTACTGGAACAAGTTGGAGGAGGTTTTTAACCACAGCCTTGCCTACCCCTCTCAGTTACGCTATTCTGGCGTATTTCTCAGTTTACCTGCTAGTTTTGTGAACATTTGTCATGAGATGTGTCCAAAAGAACGCTTTATTATCGGCAGAACTGCAGGAAACTTGACCCGTCGATTTTGCCGAAAGTTAGTGGATGCACTGTGTACCGCCTTTTTCACTCGATTGGAGGAAGTGTGCACCTTGGCCGAACAACTGGCGCCCCAAAATAGTGTGCCTTGGCTTATCGAGGAAAAGCTGATGAAGAAGAAGGCCGCTGACACTAACGGAACCATAAAGAAAAACAAAACTGTATCTGGGTTCGGACAGCCAACTAACGTAATATTGATGCCCGGTATGGAGAGTTTTCGTCGCGATCGCGTCGATCAAACTATACATGACAAGACTCTCTTCACGCTTTCACAGCTTTGTTCTGCGCTCAATTTTCAAAAAGAGCTACATGCTTTTGAAGAAGTGTTCGATCCTCGGACAGTTCTTCAAACAGAACTTCAGATGCGTTTATTCGAATATCTTCGCCCTATTGTGAAAACCTAGTAGGTGCTCTTGTTTTTTATACGCTATGTTAGTTGACATAGGTGTTTAAGTTACTTTAATCTTTTACACTTTGTAAAAAGTTCTCCGAGAGACCTAAAGCACTTTGTACGCCCTAATGTCAGAAGTTATTTGTCGTTACTAATCCGTTACTCTGATTCATAGCTCTAATAGCTTTTTGGGCTATCCATTTCTTTTTGTAATTTAAATCAAGTGACTTAGTTTCACAACTTCTTTCGACTTGTTAACCATTTCCCATAGTGTGTTAGCTTTTAAAACGGTTGTTTCCGTCTTCTGGTCCTATAGTCCTGTGGATTCCTCCACTCAACCGCGTCCTAAGTATGTAATTTGTGTTGCTGCGTGTGTTATGAATTTATTACTCGATTATTTAAGCAATTTCTATATTTTTTTATGTAGCTGTTTGTATTACTAATTGTCAAGCCATTTGGTGTTAGTCTTCTAAATTTGGATTCCGTTTAGCCAATGGCTTTATCGTCAGGGTAATGTGGTTGTTGCTGCTACCCCAACGGTGTGAGTCATCAAGTCCACAAATATTTCCAACTCGATGGCTTTTGTGCGTTATGGCTGTTTTGTCTTGTTTTTTTTTCCATTTGTGTACCAAATAGAAAACGTGGATTTTTTGAACTAAATCATGGTACCTAGATTTCATTTTGCCACTCAGTCCATTGGCTGTCATTCATTTATCGAGTTACACTAGGCTCGGTGTTCAAAAATGGTATTTGCCCATTGTTTACTCTGCGTTCGATTTTACTTTTTCTTGTACAGTTCAAAAGCCGTGAATGGTCAGTGCTGCATCCTGGTGGAAATTAAGCATTTCAGCCTCAGCTAACGAAATACGGAGACATATTGCTATGGCTAAAAGCCACTTGTGTCCAGTTTTCGCAGCTCTTGAAGTAGGAGTTACGTGGATTTTCGGAGTCAAATCAATTATTGTCAAGTTGTCAAACTAATTTTCTTGGCGTTTACACCCACCATTAGGTGTATGCAAATCAGTTTTAGTATCTGTTTTGGCCTAATTTAGTCTAGTTTTAATTTAATCCAGTAATTACCGTTGGTCCATACATCCCTAATTGCGCATTAACTTCTACTGCTGATTCGGGTCGCAAATTATGTGCTTTGTTATTTTATGATAATCTATCCTCATGCTCAAGAGCATTAGTAATCTTTTATGGGATTTTGATTCAATTAATGTAAGAACAAATTCTAAATCAGCGATGATTTCTTATTTGAAACCCATTTTCTACGTTGTTTATCTCGAACGCACTGCTGCTTGTGCTTGTTTCCTCGATAACCAATCGGCAGCTGTAGACGCGACCCCAATTTTTATGCACCTGCGGTCTGGTCTCCTCACCACTGCGACTGAACGAATCAGCCATATTTAGGCGCAGACATGTGATTACTCACACTTGCAAGTAGGCTAGGGGCACTAAATGAAAAGCTCACCACCCACTACCTACTTATCAGTGAGTTCCAGCATCATCCAGCCGCAACGGACATTCACGCATCTTACCGCCTAGCTGGAAATACCTGTCGATTGACGTAGATTTCCCTTCGAATTCAGTGTATTTTAACGGTCTCCTAACCACATTTTCTGCGGTGCATTGACAGCTCTTGGTTTTTCCACCAATGCGAGGGTTGTCTAGGCCGATCTATTTGTTTGTCCCCGAATAATGCATTTTGACGTAATTCTACCTTTCCTTGACCGCACACTTCCAGCTGTCAAACGCCTCGTTTTCGGAAATAATTTCAGCTCTTTGTTCACGCCTTTATAACTCCGTTTTTCAAAGAGATGCGGAAATGTGGCGTTGTAGCAGCATCGGTGCTATCACGCGACGCCTCACACCAATCCCTCCCCTCTTTGTGACCCTCTTAGTAGGTCGACCCTGCACATTTGTCTTCGTACGGTCTTAGTGTTTAACTATGTATCGGGTCCGACCAGCGACGAATGCATGTTTCTTTGCATCGCCATAAAGCCCAACATTTCGCATACTATGCATTCAGCTTCCATTCGGTGAAAGGATAGATCTGCTGACTACCTTAACAAAATGAACTACCAATTTTATTAATAATATTTTGTGGTAATAACAGCCTTTATTTGAAATTTGCCTTTTCGACTAATTGTATGCACTTTGTTGCATGTTCATGGGGCACATCTTGAGCTTCTATGCACTTTTGTTTTGCTCTCTCTAAGACTAATTCCGCTTTATGTTGATTTTGGTAATGCGCTGCTGGGCCAACAGTTTTTTTTCTTTTGTGAGAATCAGGGTATTTAATCTTTTTTCACTTTCCAATCCAATAGTCTCGAGTGCTAGCAACACGAAAATCATGTGCTTTACGAGACACACACCTGTGGTTGCCATCCTGTCAACAATATACTCAACTGTTTATTTGTTCCTTCTATCGTCTTATCTTAAATAAGTGTCGGTCTTCTTTTTTTATTTCCTGTTTTTATTTTTCCTCTTTTTGTTGTTAAATATGCTCCCACAGTTCAATATGCATGTTTTATTCGTGTTTGCATCAGTTTATATATCAGGGTATTGTTTCGTAGACTACATGTATCGTTCTAGTATAGCGCATATACTTTTCACCTTCGAGTGCCAGCCTGGCTAATTGCCGCTTTTATGAATTCTATGCCCGGTATTTGAGAGATTTAAAGCTTTGTTAAACTGTTTGTTTCATTGCGGCATTAAAAAGCAGCTGAATGGTCGTTTTGTGTCTGCTTTTTGCTATTTGCATAAATCGGTTTTTTTGAAGAGATGCTAGTTTTCTATTAGTAACATTAGATGCTTTTGGGGAAACATTGTCCTTTACGTTTCAAGCATCATAAGTGGCGTTTCAAGCGGCTCGTTTTGGCTTTATCATCGCCTTAATACTAATTACACTATTCCCATGTTGCCTGCTTCCAGTCCCACGGGGCCAGCAGACAAGTCAGATGCGGAGCCTCATCGCCTGATTAGGCCTTCGGACATGCTTCGTCGAGCTCGGGCAGTCATGGAAGTCCTTATAGACCTCGAGGATTTGGTACGCATCGATGTGATTGCCGTTTTCAGCAACGTTTTTGAACAGCACACGCAGCCAAGTAGTGATACGTCAAAGGTGTGTTTTTGTATGCGCTATTGCTATCTGGTTAACCACGTTATTCATGCTCGATAACAAATTTATTAACTATCGGACTTTTTTTCTACCTATAGTCTGAGACACTCTGATCAAACACCAATTTACTAGCTGAATCTCTTTACCTGCTCTTTCATGCTGCATTCTTTAATTGTTGAGCTTTCGGTATTGCCCTGACTAATGGGAAACATTTCAGAAAGTGTGTAGACTTTATCCTGAAAGATCCATCCCATTCTCCTTATAGTGTATCCTTCGGGCACCTTCGTTCTGCTTTTTGAAGCTGTCATAAAGACGCTTTAATTCTCTTTTTTTATTGATAATAAAAATTATACACTTTCCTGGGCTTTGAAGTCCATTCGCTCCTATTAGATACTGCTTTGCTACGTCGAGTGTTTCTCATGTAATGGAAACAACAAATGATGCTATTTGTTGTCCGTAGACTAGCTTTTCGGAATGGTGATTTCCCTTGTAGAATGTATCTACCCTTACTACACACTACTCCGAGTGGTATGCGGATGATTTTATCCAACAGGCCTACTTGGGCCACTTTGTCTACTCACCCTTGCTAATGACTTTCGTCACGATGCCCTCTCCAGATTCTCCCCGATTCCGCGCTGAGGAATACTCGGATTTGAATGAACTCCGTGCTCTGGCCGAGCTAATTGGTAAGTTAAAATAATTTTACCAAACATTTTGTTGCTTTTGAGTACGCTCGTGTCTTGATCTCACTTTTACTTGTAGTTGTAATATAGTTTTGTCAATACTAGCCCCAATTTATTCAGGGTAACTGCCGGGTATGAATCTAACTGTGCTCACCTCATTAAATTAATTTATCCCAATTGTGGTTAAGAATTACCTTTTACCATATTCTTAAACGCTCACGCGGTTCCTCATTATTTCGTGGAAATGCGTTGCCTTTTCAAAACTTTAAGCAATGCACATTCGTTTAGGCTGATGGTTTTGCATGTAAGTTTCTAAACCAGTGTTTTTTGTCATTCCACTCGAGCTTAGATTATCAGGTTTTAGTAGAATACTAATTTAACTACCAACTTACTTGTTCCGTTTTATTGAAATGGATACCTTAAAACAGTCACGCGCTGGTCAAAATGGTAAAAATGGCTCTTTTGCTACTTGCAGCGTAAATAAACCATACAAATAGTGCTGTGTGGTTGAGCCTTTCTTACCTTCAATTATTTTCGGTTTTTTTTTAATATTAGGCATTAACTTGATCTGATCTCTTACTTGTGACGAGTTCGTGCATCTGATACTTGGAGACGTTTATGTGCTCAAAGCATGCTGTTTACCTTTCTTGTTCTCAGTCTTCGTAGTTTGTTGATCAAACGCTTTTATCGTGTGTGTTCAGATGGTTTTAGTGGGTACGCAAGAACTATGCGTTTTTTGTTTTGGCGATTATTTTTACCAGTCTACTATTGAACATTCTTTTAATTTGTTATACCGTGCTAGTTTTATTTGCGGTGTCAATTCGTGTGATCGCTGGGTTCGGTATCTAAGCCAGCATATCCACGGCCATTGATTGTTTAGCTTGGGGCTGAACATAGTTGGACTCAAGTTTTTTACTACTTTGCGCGTCAGTTTACGCTGTCAGTTCGTGCTTTGTTAAACTTCAGTTATATGCTACTTCCTTGTCCACCCTTGTGGTGCCTGTCAGATTTTGATTTGCATAGTTCCAAAATCAAGCATTTGTAAAATGACGAATAGGGCAATGAATCGTCTTGAAATCCATGGGTGGATTGGTACTTTAGCAGCGTAGTCACCTCTCTAACTTTTTTTCGTTGCGTCTAGGTCCCGTGGGGATGAAATATCTGGATAGTCGAATCATGGATCAGATCGGCTCGCGAGTGGATGAGGTAAAGAAACTGGTTATCTTAAATCGTCCTTTGCTGGAGGAATTGCGTGGAGCATTTGACGATCCAGTAAAGACCCGAAAACTTGCCGCCCAGTTGCAAAGAGTGGATATGCTGCTCTCATATCTACGGGAAATTGGGATTGGATTGGCGTTTCTCTCTCTCTGCCGCGGAGCCCTGGGCGATGTGATTCGGGTGAGCTATGTGCCGAAACTCCTTATGACTAGCTTGTGTTACCTGTTATGCGTTAAATGGCTCCTAGCAAGGCTGATTAGTGGACTATTATTAGACTTGTTTTCCCTTATGTTTGGAGGTACTCCGTTCACAGGATTTCCTCTTGTGATTCCGATACCTGGTGCTATTGATGTCCAGTTCTATGGCACTTTGTTATTTCACTCCCCAAAATCCTCTCACTAAGTAGTCTTTTAGTAAGTAGCAAATAGGTCAATCGCCCTACTTTAACGGGCGTCACTGCTACACCTTAGGCGCGTGCTCCTTTCCTCGTGGAGACAGCGAAGAGCATTCGCACACACATGCGTCGCCAGGGGAAGGGCAAGCTCCTTCCGCCAGCAATTTTCGAGACCGAGGCGGAGGAAGAGGGGGAAGTGAGAACAAGCACAGGTACGGGGAACGGTGGCGGCGCGGAACACGTTGTGCGTCTGCTGGAGGCGCAGTTGCTAACAAGCAACCTCTGCGCAGCCATGGGTATCTCCTGTGATGGACTGGACGCAGGACTCTGCGATCTTCTTCGACTTACTCAGCGCTCGTCCTCAAGCTGGAATGGTGGCGCTAGCTCTACTGCACCCACTGCCGAACCCCCACTCAACCTTCAGTACCATATTGCTTGCTTATTCATTGTCTTCGTGGCCAACGCTTTGCCACAGTTGGCCCGAGTCAGCGGATGCGCCTACCAGGTCAACTTGGCCGCCAACGAGGGCAACACGCACTGCATCGCCTACGCAGTCACCACCCTTATGGTAAGGTTTAGGAAGCTTGTGTGTATGTGCTTTTATGTCTTCATTGCCCCTTGCTCTTTTGTGTCGGAGATTACTGTTTTGTCGCTTAACTTCATCAATGTCATACATGTGTGTTAATGTTTCTTAGATATGTATGTTCTCAGTCCTAAGTCCTGGGGACTTGGAGGAGCGTTCGACAGAATTTTTGGCTCTGGCATCCTCCAATCTACTTCGTCTCGGCCTTGAAACGAATTCTTCCCTTGTCTCCGCTGCAGAAATCAGCGGTGCTGGTGACAACACCGCTTCATCGCGTCACACTAACAACCCCAACTGCGTGTCTAGCGAGAATCGCGATTCGGTGTATCTTCTTTTCGATGAGATAGTTCGTCTTTCCCCCGTTCTGACTGCCAATCTTCAGGAGGCCTGCTTCCCCTGCGCCCTCATCCGCAGTGCCTACAACCATCTGGCAAATGCAAATTCGCGCCTCCAATATCACCATGCGAACTCGAGGTCAAACACTGCAGTGCTGCACCACCACCATCATCATAATTCTGAGGTGTCACAATATCATCCCTAATACTTTCCGATTATTGAGTCTACGCGCACGATTTATTACGGTGAATTATGGACAAATTCCACTTAATTTGCACCTTCTAAATGAGATCCTGATTCTCCTCCGATGTGGCTTCTCCACATCATTCATTTTGCTGTATATGCACTTCTCCCATTCTGACAATGGGATGGTAAGGTGTTTCTCGAGTTGGACTATTCCTGCGCTTGGTTGCGCTGTGAGATTCTACCGCTTAGTGAGCTGATTTGGTTACTGGCTTGTGTCACGCCGTCCATCGTGGTCGAGACCGTCGGGGCACTAATTGTGTTATTCTATTTCTGAGGGGTGAATTCCCGTAGATACTACCTCGCTCCCCAGACATGCACGCTGGGGGGCACATTCCTGGTGTTGGAACCGCCCACGGTCACCAAGGCCTAGAAGGTGGGTTTTTAGATAAATGCAATCCTCAGTTGGGAATGGTTTTGGACGTTCTCTAGTAAGCTTTGAAGGGACGTGCGGCATCCCGAGAACTCCCCAAAGACGAGAGAAGAAATAATACTAGGGGGAAATATGCTTTCAGCGCGTAGAAGGTATTGGGGCTACGGGCATGGTTCAGAGTCAAGCCAGCCCAGCGGGATACGATGGCCAAGACAGTGACTACCAAAACCGACAGTTAAACAAATATCCAACGAGTTCCACAAATTTTTGAAGCGACAATCAATTCTGTTAGTGTTGCATAGCAGCAATAATTGCTTTAACTTCAATTTTATGTTAACAAGCGAAATATTAGTGTCGCATCAATTCGCACTATGCTATAAAAATTGGTTCTATAAAGGCAATAAATTAAAGCTTCAATTTTAGTGGTCAATTCCTTCCGAGCTCTAATGCCAATGAATGTCTTCTTTTGCTGAAAACAAAAATATTCATTTGCTTATACTCGCACATCATAAGTCAATCAAAAGCATAAGCCGCCTACTTAGAAGCATCACGATAAGTGATACGTTAGAAGTGTGACATTTTGCACCGACTTGTAAGGTATAGCAATTATTTTACAAAAAAACGATTGTTATACTGCCGATTTTAATGTAAATAAACTTAAAACATGCACTGATTGGCTCTTCTTCTAAGATGTCTTTTACGTTTATCTGAAAATTGTCACATTGGTGTTGATATTCTGTTTACTACTTTGTCAAACATAAATTTACTTTGGCTGGACAGATCTTAGGTTTGATTATAGCGTATTGCATAATAGTTTTAAGTAACTGCAGATAGAGCAGCATTTTTCCACTTAATGGCACGTGCACTAAGAAAGTGGCAGTAATAAAACCAAGTTGCTTGATTTTTGATAGCCTGCATGGTGATATTTTGAGGCATCAGTGAGACGTCATGGAATTAACTCTATTTAAACCAGTATACGTCACTCCCGCCATGTCAATTACAAGAAAGCTTGGTGCGCAACACAACAACGTTATCGATAATGTAGATATTCCTTCGCCACCTATGACATCCTTGAGCTTTACCCCTGTTGAACACCTAAATAATGCTGATTATTGTGTTTGTCAAGACTCGATAATACCCTCTGCGCATCCTTCAGCAGCTCTCCCTGCATTTATGCCAAAATTTATTTCAACCAAAGTAATTAAGCTGCAACCGAGCAGAACAGTCTCAGTGGAAGAAGATAATGAAACCGAAAATGTGTATATTGCTCGACCTTATAAGCAACTGATGGCGCATCAATGTTGTGAGTCATCATCAACTATTCCATGGATGCGTTCTACGGCTATGGATGATAGTTTTGAAACTGAACCTTTACAGACACAGACAACAATTCAAACAAGTTTTCCCGAAAACCAATTAATAGAAAGCTCTTGCGGCTGCTTCTCTGGCTCCAAAGTTTTAGAACTTTTAAATGACACTTACAAAGTTGATTTGGTGCATAAATCATGCGATGGCGAACAACATAAATATCGTGTTTTTAAATCTGCCAGTGATTATTACTTAAATGTTCCGCATTCCAATGAAAAAAACTCAAACAAAGTAAATTCATTACTAAAAATGGAAAGGCCTCAATTCTTTAGCGATTGTCCTTTCTCCCTCCTTCCTCTTGGCACGCAGTCAACCTCGTTTCTACAGTCTTCTCTTCATGAATCGTATTCGTCCGGTGATGGGGACCCTATCGCGCTTATCTCTCCAACTCAAAGCTCTGCCTGTACACTGCACACTAAATCTAATCAAAATCCCCGTTTTCAGTTTAGTTCTTCCCGACCGGTCAGTGAGTGCAATTTAACTTCCCAAACAATGTCCGAATATACTGTCGTATCGATTGCAAAGGGCCGATCTATGCTGGATCGTGTCAGTGGCACCGGTAGAACAGAATCAATTATTGCACATAAAGCGAGAAAGAAAGATCGTGTGGCACCCAGAGATTGCATGCATGAAGTGCTTTATCTCAAAGCCAGCAGTTCACATAGCTGGCTGCCGTGTTCATGTTCAGATTTTAACGCAAAAAGGCTAATATGCTCTATGCTGTATACCGCTGGATCAATAGTTGGACGATTTCCCGTGTCGTTTATTAAACATCAGCAAATTTACGATGTTCACGCAGAGTTTGCTGTAGCCAAATCTTTACTCCATGTCGATGATGCTCTCAACCCAACCCTTATTTCAAAGTCTTTTATTTTCTTAGAAGCAGACTTGTGGCGTCAAAGAGGTGTCGATGAACATAATCCGATTTTACCGATATCCTTTTTGGTGGAATCCAATGTTACAGTCGGTGAGATTGAAGTTTTTAACCACCACAGACATCGTCCTACTCATGAAACAAGACTTCTCTATCGCTTGTCAAAAGATAATGTTAAATTTACTAAGAAACACCTCTCAAACATCTGTTCTGCTCAAGCATGGCCAAGTATTTCATCTGCGTTGACTTCCTCGATGTCACCAATATTTACACATTCTTTAAATGTAAAGGTAGATGAAAGTTCGATTCATTGCCTAGAATCATCCCCAAGTCACAGAAAGCATGAGTTTAGAAATTCAAATAAAGGGGAAGAAAACACTTCACCGCTTATCCAAAAGTTACTTCCCAAAACTGCGACATCTTCACCATTAAAGGAAATTTCATGCGATACTATTGAATCGGGTGCAAATACATCCCATATTAATTTGAACACATTTGGATCAAGCCAAAACTATTATGGTAGAAGCTGTTCAAAACGAGAGTCTTGTTTCGATCAAGAAATGGTTACGCAAAATAAAGAAATCATTCCCTCAAAAGCCACTGTTGGTAAAAATATCACCTTTAATCCAGATCTTACGCATTCTTATCTAGTAGCGCGGTCAAATCAACTAAACTACAATTCACCTACATCAAACATTGCATCTACTTTGCCAAAAGCTGAAAGAGAATTTCAGATAAGCAGTTGCTCAAAAGAGAAGATAAGTAAGGAGTATTTGAATACCCTTCCTGGATGTAATTTGGAGGAGCAGGTTACCAAAATTGATACTCCTGTAATAGACATCAAAATCGTCCCAAAAATCCCTAATCAGGATGAACCGATCAAGTTAAATGTTATTAAGGGTACAACGAGTTACCGACAACTGGTAAATTTCATCGCTACCAGAACAACTAATGTGCAAAATCAGAGGCCCAAGTCGGTTTTGTCTGAAAAGTTGATGGCTTCAATGGAAAAATCTATGCTTCCACAGATGGGAATTTATTCCAATTTTAATGACTATGAATCGACCGATTCGAGCATACTTATACCCGAAGGCCATCCTGCTGGGTGGAATGCTGATGATGAGAAAAATGACATTTATCTAAGCTGGACCTCCGTACAAAAAACACGTAGAGACAAGGTATGCAATGTCACTGATAATTTTCTACTGGAGAATTTTTTACATTATTTTCTAGTCTTTCAACTAGTCTACTGATTGCGAAAGAGTTACTCAATTTATGATTGTGAAATCGCTAAAATTTACCCGAAATTTGGAATGCGGCATCAATTTTTAGCCTTTTAAACAATTGTTCGAAATGGATTCTCCTTCGGATTCAGAAAAACTCAATTATTCTTTTCAATATATGAGGAAATTGTCTGATCAGAAACCTGAACGAGATCATCCTACAGCATACTCAAAAGTGGAGACTTCTACCCTCCAAAGGTAATTCTTGGATTGCTGTTCATCCGCTTTGCTGTAGCATTTTACCATATTTCCTTTTTACCCTCAGCTAAAGAGCTCCCACCAAAAAGAATGCTTTAAAAAATAAATTTTGCATTTTGTAATATAGGGTCTTTAACAGTAGTCAACGTTTTTGGGGATCAGAATTTGTTGTCTTGAGGATTGATGGCATCTGCTTGGTCACAAGATTGGCATAATCTGACTGCTTACTGTCAAATATACGTACTCAAACAAACGTATCATATAACTCCCTCGCCGATTTGAGCGCCGCCATCGGTGCTTCCCTTTAAGGCTTGACTCCACTTCATTCTAGAGGGGTTTATCGGTTAGCTTGTAGATTTCACCTTCGTAGCTAACTTGCGGTGTTCCTTTACAAGGACATTTTATTATGATGAATCGTGACTAGTTGTGCACGAATCTGAGCGTTGCACTCCAAAAAATTTGCCGGTGAGACGACCTTTGTTGCCAGAGATGCGTCTTTGCTCCAAGGATGGTGGAACTTGTGATATTCTTGGAGAAGTCTATTGAGTTACACTAGGTCTCCTTTTCGGTAAAGATTTTAGGCCGACTGCGCTTGTTGTAATATCGTTTGTCTAGTATACGATAGCCATGGGTGTTCACGCGCAAGAGTGAAAAATCGTCGCATTTCTTCCATTGGTCGTAGCACGTATTCTGGAGCCTTGTGAGTCAACATTTTCACTTTTGGTAAAATGTTGTTAATTGGTACTACCAATTCAAGGTCGATGGGGATTTGAAATGACTTGTTGATGGGTGTATGGACCGCAGCCCTATCCGCAAAGGAACATCAGCTTAGGTAAAAACCCTAATCCTGCGGCTGAATGGACTTAGTGAAAGCCTTAAATAGTCTAATTAATGTGCATCTCGTTCGTTCTACTTGTCTATTACCCTGTGGGTGACCAAGTATTGTTCGTATATCTCAGATCTCAAAAAAATTTTATAGTTCTGAAAGAAAGTAGAATTAAATTTAGCACCTTGATCGCCATGCGCTGCTTCGAGAATTCCCGTGTTAACAACTCTACTTCTTTAAGAAATCAGAAACGATTGTCTCAGTATCTTATATCTTTAGGGGTCCCGTTCCAGACACTTTCGTGAAATATTTTATAATTACAAGTATATGCCGGATCCCTCTCGCTGCAGTCCGTGAAGGACCCACAATACCAGTGTCTACTCTCTCCTACGGGAACCCTATAGGCATAGACTTTAATAATGCAATCTCTGTGTGGTGATATCTTTTAAATCTGCTACAAGTACCGCAGGTTCGGCAGAAACCACCTACACCTTGGGTAATTAAAAGCCGCTAGTGCCCCTTGCTCGAGGTAGCTAGTATCTTCATTTTTCCTGTATGACACAATCATTTATTTAAAACTTCGCCAGTTTGTAGCACCAATAATTTTGGAAATACTGAGTTCTTAGATGCTCCGATCTGATCTTTTTACTATTAAGAATGCATTCCTTGGGGACAATTTCGACAACTCCTCCCAAATACGCCTGGCTGCTGTACCTGTTAGTGGCATCCTTTTGCTGTTGGCTTGTAAGAGGATGGAAGAAACTTCTCATAAGACGGGCTCGTATCAAGATCAGTGCTTCGTGTATTTTTCCATTATTGGTTAGTATGTTCGCTCAAGAAGATGATGTTCACGGAAACGCCACTAATTTTCACGAGGTTTGGCCTGCAATTTAATGCATCTGTACTACTGTGTGCATTGCCTTTTTTATACTGTACTGTGAAATCGTACTGCTGCAATTCCTCGTGCCAATGCGTCACCCAACAATCTATCTCTTTCATTGTTCTCAGTCAGACCAGTGACTGATGACCGTTTCATACTATGACAATTATGAAAATAGAGAGAAGTTCATGTTGGGTTACATTATTGTGCCTCATCAATTCAAAAAGTAATGACGTGCTCCCAGCCTTTGCCGCCCTTTTGTAACTATGCACCAAATAGGTGTAGCACTAGCGACCAAAACGAATAACGAAGCGTCTGAAACTTGATACTGCTAGAATGGTGCGGAGTAGAGCATTCGTTTCAATTCAGTAAACTGCGTGTTGTAGAAATTGTTATTCCTTTAGGTTCAGTTTCAAACCTACTCCTTGTTTGCAATCTAAAACCAATTTCAAGTTGGGATTATGCGCATCAATGTTTCTACTGGCAATACGCGTGTCGTCTAGGCATCTTATGAAGCGTTTTAAGATCAGCAAAATTAGTGCCTTTTGTATCTGAAGTTGGGAAGTAGCCACTACATTTTATATTCCGAAAAATATCGCCTGAAATCATAAAGCCCGTTGGATGCTGTGCAAGTCAACTTTACTTCATCCGTTCCTGCCATCCTCACTTGCCAATATCTCAGCATGAAGAACCGCTTTCTTTCACATGAGGGCTCTAATGGATCATTTATGCAGGGTGAGGGAAAGTAATCCTCCCTTGTTATCGAGCTTAGCTTTCTGATGTCTACTTCTATTTCTCATCAGAACAAATAGTGAGGCTCATGGTGACTTGGAAGACTTTATGACCTTAGCTTTAAGCATTTCGTAAATTTAACGGTTTACTCTTAGCATAAAGTGCGATTTGCATCCTAATGGCATCCAGATCGATCTAGTCTCGCCAATTTTTATCGTAGGTTTCTCAGTTAAAGGCTTTGTCATTAAAGAATATTTATGTACTTAACCAGCAACCTTCAAAGTTCTTCCTCCTTGCTGTCTGTGACTTTTGTAAGCTGTGAATGAGGTTCGTCTAATTTATATAGGTATTTTTGTGGTTCGAATAGGGTACTACAGATATCATCAACACTTCTTCGGTGACGGAAAAGTCACCATAGCCACACTGACCTGGTAAGCAGAGAAGTTGCATTTTGCAAAATTTAGAAAAGCGCACGTAGAAAACTGATCCGAAGAATTATATTTAAAATTATCTCTGCGTATGGTAACTCGCAATAACTTTATACCTTCTCCTGTCATTCATCTCATTCTGACAATCGTACCCTTTTAGACAGTGAAACATTTCCAACCTTTTTGTAAGAGAACACGGAAGGTCCAATATCTGCTACTGATCTCCCTTCGCCGGGGTCAGGGAATTTGTTTGAATGTCTTTGTGATTTATTTGGCGTTTGCAGATATGAATGGGCGGTACACGTAGGACCTCGGTTAAATGGTGTTGCACTTGATTTAACGTTTCTGTTGCAACGCGATGTCGTTGCAAACCTAAAATCACTGAGAGAGTTAATGTCTTTACTCCGAATTTCGTTATCCATAATGTCTGCGTCAACAACGTTTCTAAATTTGACGTTCCACCGTCCCTCGGCTCCTGTTGAAAGCAATTAGCGAAAAACGCACTTTGCTTGTTCTTACACATTCCTTGCATAATCCTCATCTTTCCCTTTCATTGTGTGGTCACAATCTGTTGCAACATTCCTCAAAGCCAACATACTAAGTAATCCCGACTTTCACGGCGGTGGAAAAGACCCTGGGCAAGTGCATGCCACATTTGTTGTGTTTTTTGTCATTGGGAGTAGAACTTGAGGTTGAATCTGGCTTACTCTAACCATTTCTCATCGTCCGTGTCTGCAGTGGAGGAAAGAAGGTTCACCAACGCTGCCAGCAGTACAGTATTTTTGTCACTTTTCCCTTCGATCTCTGGTTTCAGAGCCCTTACTCGAGAAGAATCGTTAGAGAAAAACATCTTGCTTTGTGTAGCTAGTGGGCTTTAAAATAATCAGTTTCACGGGCATCAAATTTTGTCCCCTTGAACATTGATGGCGTCTGCTCAGTCACGAGTGTGGTGTAATCTGGCTGCTTATCACCAAAGGTGTATACCCAATCAGCTATGCAGTACATAAATGCCACTAATTTTTTTTTAGTAATCGCGACCTTGATTTTCAAAACCCGAAAGGCTCTTTTAATCGGACGGCATTGGAAGAGGTATTTAATTTGAAATCCGTTCAATGGAGACCAACCAATGTTTTCTTAGGGAACTCTGGGCTTAAAAAATAGGTTAGTACTTGCGTCCCGCGTATCTCACAAAAATGCAGTGACTTGGGCCTCAGAAATGTGAGTCGTTTAATCTCACAGCTTCAAATTTGCCTATCTATTGGTCAAATTGGACCATGTTGCCGAAACAAAATGTTTATCAGATGTAATACCAATTAAAATTGGGGTTTGTTATTTGCTTTTAAACTAGTACACATGCCTCAGACTCCAATAAAGGTGGAGCGAAAAAAGAAGATAAAAGGCTTCAGCATGCAAAGGACGAAGGAGAGGTAGATGGAGAGGGAGAAGCTGATGAGGAAGCCGAAGTGAGGACGCTTCGTAGTGGAAATTGTCCCATCGTCCCAGATCATCCTAATGTTACGAAAAATGAAGCAGAAAAGGAGCCCTTTATATGGAAGTGCCAAAATGATATTAGAGAAAATGCAGTTTTTGAAGCTGATATAAGTGCTCTGACTGAACAGGATTTACTTAAAAACAGGAAAACTGATAAGCCATCAAAAAAGCAAGGGCCTTCCTCGTTGATATCAGCAACCGGACGCAGGTCCTGTCTGGTCTCAAGGTGCTTCTCATAACTCCTAGCTAAGTTTACAGGAGTATTTGGGTGTCAGGCCCCCTATTTCATCAATTGATTTTATTAAAGAGAACAAACTGTAAAGTGCTACTGGTATTTATTTTTACAAGCAAAAGCACATTTTTTTAGGCTACTCTAATCCAGAAGTAATTGAATAATATATTTTCCTTCAATTACGGCAGTATATTTGGGAAGCATTTGAAGATGTCCATATTTATTTCCTTTAGAATGAATTAATCATTTAATAAATAATAGTAAGTGTGTCCAATCGCTCAACTGAGAATTCACTTTAAAGAATTTGACTATCTCAAGCAATCTAATATATTTGCCATGTCATTGTATAGTTTTCTAAATCGGTTGTGGTAATGTACGTAGTGTTTACAGTAAGTAAGTAACGCAGTCCATGTGGCTGGCATTTCCCAGTATCCAGCATGTTTAGGACGGTTTGTACCCCTTTCCTATGGGATGGTAATTGTGGGTAAGTTGAGAAGCATTAATTATTCGGACGTTTGAGTTTCAGGTTTTTTGCAAATAAAAGTTCACTTTATATAGAGGTCAAAATATTTAAAATATTTTTTCTAGAGCTTTTCCTTTTGCAACCAGTGTGCTTCATCCCTGTTTCGAAGTAAATCAAGTCTTATATAATGTCAAGTTATATTAAATTGTTCCGAAATCGTTTAGTACACCAGGAGAGGTGACTACGCAAACGGAGTTTTTGATGCGGAGTGACTATAGGAGTCCCGAAATGAATGATGTCACCACTCTCAGAGAGGATGAGTTCCGAAGTCTTATGAAGAAGTACAGGGACTTACGGCGTGAGGTATTTACAGAGTAATCTGTATTAGTTTTTCCTAACATAGCCTAGGCGACACTGTTGATGTTTTCGTAAAGTAACACACAAGCCTACTCAATCATTCAATTTGGTTAATGTTACCGACCCGGACTTATTCTATAGTTTTCCAATGATCACAACAAATCAAATATGTATTCATGACAATTTTGAACAACAGCGTACACATTCAGTCTACTTTGCCCAAAATTTTATTTTTTCTCGTAAAAGCTAATGAAATCTCTGCAAAAAGGACATGTATGCATATTTCCCTATGCTGACTCCCACGTGAGCCAGCCATTGCAAAAATTTTGTTTTGAACCACTCTTTATCCGTTTGGTGTATAATTCGGTGACTTCTAACTCGATAAATATGCTTGTAAAATCCCTCTTTAGTTGAAACTGTTAGGGTTTTTATTTAATAATTTGTGTAAGTACTTGCATCCGTGTTTATTAAAAGCTTAAAAAGAGGTCCCCGTATAAGTCTGATGTCGATGAGAATGGAGTCTTCGAAATGAACTCCTCCTCTACTACAACAAGTACAACCGAATCAGCATGTGTCAGCACCTCGCATCGGCAAAGTTATGGCCATTTTCGTATTCGGAGTCTTCCAAAGAACTGTAGACGGGCAAAGGGACATTCATTAAGGAACGGTAAAAAATCCTCCAAAATAGAATCTTTGACTCAGCAGAGACGTCAACGACATGGCCGTCGTAAGGATGATCATGGGAGTTCAACCTCCAGAGATAACTCGAACCCATGTCGCTCTTACAAGTATAGGTATGCTTCGACTACGAGCATATTCAAGATCAGCCTCAGAAAACAATTTTATCTATGTTGACATGCACTCACGGAAGGCACTGAACTTAATTAGGATTTTACTCAAAATCAGTGATGGCAAAAAATGCTTTAATATAAATATTAACAAAAGTATAACGCAAGTGAAGCTTTTGAATTGTTATCTGCAAATGAATAGTGCAAGAAACTTCGTTGATGCGAATCACCCTTCAGCACAAAGTGCCGTTATTATCATAATAATGTTTTGTTTGAACAGAATGAAACATGATCTGCGTTTTTAATATTAATATTATACTTTTGTAGCATAAAGGTTACCAAATTCTGTGCACATCATGCCCGCCACCATTTAATTAAACTGCTACTTGTCAAAGCCTCAAACTGCTTTGCAATTGCAAATTTACAATATTTCAGTATTATTTATTTAGACATTGGTTGCCAATATCCCAATATGCTGGTTATCCGCCTCCTCCGCAGCCCTATCCAAGCTATGCCTATCCTTCCTTCCCATATTATCCGCCTCCTCCGCCACCACCAGCTCTCCCACACCCTAATTACATGGCGCCACCGCCAATGCTAATTGACCCCTGGACTTGCAGACACTGTTGCACATCGAGACGCTATCGACGACACAAATCTCGGAATTCCAGCATGCGGCATCAGAGACCCACAACTCGCAAACACAAATTAAAAAAAGAACTGAGAAAATGCAAAGAAGTTGAAATCAGTGCCAATCAGAGCCGAGAGAGAAATGTGCTGCACAATGAAGATAGTAGTTAGTTATCAAAAATGAACACTTTTAAATAGTCCAAGGGTTCTTATTTAGTGTATTGCTCGAAGAAAATTAAAAGTATATAAGTCCAGTGATGTATACGATTTTGAATATACGGTTAGCCATAAAAATCTTTAATTTGTATATTGGCTAGCTCTAAGCATCCGAACTTCAAAAGCTTTCCTCGGACCTCCGGTGACAGCATGCTATCAGACAACCAGCAACGCACCACTATCACACCCTCCTCAGATCGCCACACCAACCGTTTCCGATACATCTATGCAGCCTCCACAAAGCTCTCTCCCTCGTCCACTCTCGCCCCTACATCAGTCAAACAATGTACCACGGGGAATTTACACTCTGCCCGAAGCAGGTGGACCCTCCTTCAATCCTTTTAAGGGTCACAGCCTCCCAAACGAACCATCAGGTCTCGTTGAAACACGACTGGCTACCGTGTCGCCACCGACAAAGACCGATCCATCACCCTCAGCCGCATTCTCCGGTGCCGTGTATGGCGCAAGCAAAATCCATTCCATTCACGATAATCAGTCAAGATCAACAGCTTCAGCTCAAATGCCTTTGTCCTCTGCATCAATAGTCAGTTTCGACGTACATCTATAGCTTGTTTCTAATCATACCTTCCTCACTGAAAAATGATATTCATTTTATGAATCCGTGACGCAGTCGCTTTGAAAATGCGACTTTATTCACTTAGCAAGCATTCTATAATGCCATGTTACAAAACTTTCCGAGGCGTGGGCTTAGTAACAAGGTAAAATTGTGGGTCATTGCTAGAATCATTAGCTTCTTGCGATATCTTTATTTGGAGTTTCACAGATGGCTTAACCAATAATTATCGCAGAACATGCCAATCGAGAACAGCATTATGGCGACCAATAGATTAAGCAGGAGTAGATAAGATTAAAAAGATGTTCATAAAATTTCAATAAGGCTTCTCTGAAAATTGTGAGATGAGCATGATTTTATATGATCTTGAACCAAAGCTTGTTCTATTCTGGATCTCGAGCTCATTGCTGCCTCCACCACTTCCAGTGCTGCAGTCAGCAATGCTTCATGAGAATCAAAAATAAATACCCCTTCTGTTTTATCGGTACAGCGACAAGGAGTGGATTCTGGAAAATTCCTACAAATACAGGAGCTAAATGCTACTGGCAGTTTTTTTAGAGGGATTACATGGTCCTCAGGTAATTTGCCTAAAAGATTGATGTAGAACCACAGATTTGGTTATGGAAGGCCATTTTTAGCCGAAAGTCCAGTTTACTTACGTTATTGCAAAAATAACTGAATGTAGACCTTCAAGGAGAATCGAAGAGGAAATAAAACATTTAATTCAGGCAAATGTTATGCATTATTTTACTAGAGTTTTTTAAAAAAGAACAAATTCTAATATCAGCATTTGTAGTCCTGCCTTATACAAGTAAAAAGGGAAAAGTTATTAAACAATGATCTACTGCTACCTTACGCCCTCTCATATTCAAAATGAGACTAGTCTTTATTTTGAAACGAATTGATGATTAGTACAAGCAAAGTATAAGTACAGTTTATGTGCTTTATGTACTCATGGTTCTCCCTTTCTGTAGCCAAAAAACCCAGGTGTTCAATCTCAAACTGTTCAGGGACCTTCACAACCGCCTAATCGCCGTGCTGTGTATCAAAATGCACCACCACGACAGCCGCTAAGTGATGTCATGGCTCCAAGTCCAGGTGAGCCGAATCCTAGCTGTGCCGCCCCTCGACCCCTTCCCCCAAAGCCCGGAGCCAAGGTTGACGGCCCCCAGGTGACCTCGACTGGTGATAAATATGGTCTCTTTCGGATGCCCACATCTGAGGCGGAATATATTAGCTGCGAAAAACGCTTTGACTGGTTGCAATCAGAAAAGACACACTTAGAAAATTCATTGAACAAGCTGACTATGGAGAGCGCCAGTGGAGCTAGTGGAAGGAAACATCCTTTAGGATCCAAGACATCAATGGAAGAGGTACCTTTTCTGCAACCGTGCTACTTACATATGCGCCATTTACTTATGACTTCATGTAAATGAGACAGAATAGCTCTCCCAGTTATAACTCTGCAATTAATAAGTTCAATATCATAAGAAAACTTCGTCAAACTTTTCTTTTAATTTTAGTCCCGTGTTTCTAACGCACTTTGTCAAATTGGTCGCGAAATGTCAGCTTTACGTTTGGTGATGAAAAAATATACCAATGAAAGAAAAAAGGGCTTATTATTGAAGACCGCAACGTTTTAAGGGTTGTATTGTTGGTTCTGTGACTTGTATACAATTATTTTAGAACCTGAATAAAAAGACAACCGACAAACACTGAATTTATGCGCATTCGTAGAGGGGGAAGGCGTGCAAGACTTGGCGATTTCAAAATCAATGAAATATGAATAAATTAAAGTGAATATGGAGCCCAAGCATGCAAGTTTTCTGAAGATAGGCGAGAGCGGTTCATCCGTACGTGAGCAGATCTCGCACGGTACCGCGCTGACGATCCGCAAAACACCGCGCCTCCGCAGAGACGAGCCGTCGAGGTGGTAGTGGCAACGGCCGTTCCGGTTCGTCGGAACCAGAATCACCGAGAATGCACTTTATTTGGTCGTTCGGAAGATGTGCCTGCCGTCTCAGTGGAGGTTCGGTGAGGTCGCTGTGTGTTATTAAGGCACGAAGTGCATTTCCACGGGCCTTTTCCTGATTCTGGATAGCTTCTTCAGAACTCACCGCCTTCAGCTTAAAGTTCGGGAATGTCTCCATTAAAGTAGCATTCTAGTTAGGAGTCTAAAGGTACTCTATGTCAAATGCCTGTTAGTACCATTTACTATCACTTCCAATTTACAAGTTTGAAGAAATCGTGCTTAGGCCATCTACCGTGGCTTCTTTTATTCGAGATTCCTAGTTCTTTGAAGATACTCCATCTTGGAATGAAAAATGTTTTACTATTTCTTGTTAAGGGGTTTGACAAATTTACCCGGTTTTTAGATGAGTAATTCGTTGAATCCGCACCCTTTCCAATGCGATCGCCCATTTGACCATCGCGGCTTTTTTGATACGTTTGCCTAGCTCCATCGGAAACACAGAACATTTGGCGTCGGGGAGTCGATGGTGCGTCTTGTTCCACTTGGGTGATACAACGCGCCATTTGGGTTATGGGAATCTCTTCATTGAAGCTTTGGAGTACTTCCGTACTGTCTATGCACAAAATCACTTGCAAATCAACACTAGGTTAAGAGTAATGCTTAACTTAATAGAACTGAATTTGTGTTTTGCAAACACATTTTAGCAATTATTAAGCTTTTTATTTTACAATATTAACTAATGAAGTTCAGCAATTACTGGAGTTGAAATTTTAATCATGACAAAATTATTTGATAATTACACCTCTCCACTTAACCAACAAGAATAACTTACCTTATTGGATCTTGTATCTGCTTCCAAATGTCAAAGACTTGGTCGCATTTTACCTTTGTTTTTCGAAATCTCCACAGGCAATGTTTTACCATTTTTGAACAGGATCGTAGACTCCTTCAGAAGTAAGTGTTAGTTTGGGGAACTAATTCGGTTTATGCCATGCCATGTTAGGGACTATGTTTACACTTTGAAGTAATCCATTCAAACTTCTTCTCTTATTTCTCCACGGAGGCCAGCTTTGTCTATGTTTTGTAAAAAGGCATTACCGTAGTTACGGGATGTGCCGTTAGTACTCCACGCTGACGTATCCTCACTTTTCATCTTGGAAGAAGACACGTCGTACTTCGGCTCTTTACTCAATGTGCAAATTCTCAAACACTCGAGCACTGACTTGCTTCCCTTATTCTGACGACAGTAATATAGGGATTCCTTTGTTGGACAGCGATGCAGAGGTACGCTTGGATTCTCGGGTGGCGCAGTCTTTAGAAGATCTTTACAGCCCTAAAGTAAAATAAGGGTTGGAGGAACTTTATATCGTATTAATAATAAAGGGATATGGATATTTCATTACTACATCAATTCTTTTTGACATTCCTAAATGCTACAAAGTAGAATGTACATGATATTCGATCGTGCACGTGGTATCGTTTAGAAACAGGTTGATGACTAAAAGGTATTGTGTTATAAGATGGGTGTATTTTGCATTTACCACATTCATAAGCGTCCGCCACATTCATAATGCTGGCGATGATAGTGGTCAGACGAAAAATTCATCACTTTTTCAATTATCACAGTGACCAAAAATGAAAGGAATTGACGGAGATTGAAATACTTTCCCTAGATGGCAACGTCGCCCTATAGCATGCCACCTGATTCCGTGACCCACTGTAGCATGAGTTTTATTACGCAGTTTTCCATATTGCACATACATGTCATAGAACCAAATTCATCGCATGAAACATACCCTGCTTCGTAGGGCATACTACTTTCCCTCTCCTCTGACTCGTCGAAAGCTGCGACGGACCTCTACTTCGGATTGGTCGGCTGCACTGTGGGCAAACCAATCACAACTCAAAGTCCCTGCTTGTACTGCCGACGGACGTATAGACTTTGGCCTTATGGCTACTGGCTCTGCACCATGTGTGAACCAATCACACTTGTGCATCTGCGACTCCATTATCATCTGGGAGTTGCATTAATATTATTATCAAAAGTGGTCATAAATTAAGAAAGGCAATTATTAAATGGATCGGTGGGCAAGTAACAATTCTATGCAAATTGGGGAGGTGATAACGTCACACGACAAAAGGGTGGCTTCATATCACACAATTGAATTGCAGCTTTCACACCATGTCAGTTGGTGTACTTGTGTCAGTTGCAAATGAAAGCCCATTAAAAGGATTTGGTAGAAGAAAATGTACATAATTTTCTTTTTTAAGAATTCAAATTCCTCATTTTTTGAAGTCATTCAGTAGACCCTTTGGACTATTTGAAGTATTCGCAAATCACAGAAGAAAAGAGTCGAAGTAAAACTTTAGGGAGAACTTTCTTAACCAATTTTAGGTTGTAGCGTTTTTTACTTTGATAAATGCAAAATAATATTTTAAAATAGAGTAATGTTTCTCATTTTCATGGTAAAATACTGGGTAGTTAGGATTGCTTTACTGCACAAAGCCTTGACGGTTAACAAATGGGCAAATTTATACTTTCAGTAATCGAAATTATGTTATGATCGATTCTTAACATAAATGAGCTTTATCCAATGGTCAATTGGAAGACCCTTTGCACATTAGGAACTGCTTATATGAAAAATCTGGGTTTATTCAAACAATGGTTTCAAGGTCTTATTCGCTCATACAACCGCATGAGTCGCATGACTACTACTGAGGTGTCTCCTAGCCTAAGCAGTGAACACCGCGGGACCGACAAAACCATCAGAGGACATTGGTAGGTGTACTAACCTATAGTCGTTTACTAATCTAGGAGTTACACCATCTTGTTCTATTTGGCAATGTCTGTCTATGCTTGTGAAAGTGGGTGGAATATTATTTCCCCTACGTAATCAGCTTTATGGATGTAAACTTTATCGCTGTATTCAGAGCCTTTTTAAATGTGGAATGCTGTAAATATGCACATCATAATTTTACGCAAGCAAGAATCCTGAATTTTACAATAAAGTCAAGTGTTCTAGACGCCTACCTTCGCCTCCAGACTAGCACCCAGCCTTGGAGCTCTTTGTACCGCCGAAATAGCAGCGCAATTTCCCTCGAAATCACACCAATCATCCGTGGGTCGAGTCATTCTTTGCAAGATCTCATGGGCTTCTTCAGAACGTAATTTCCTACCAAATGATGCAGTGCGTGGTGAATCCGGATCATTGACGAATCCAGCCATTCGACCCAGACTACCAGCTGGACGCCTATTCTTGGCTGTGATTTCAACCGCCTCTGGACGAATCCGAAGGCGAAAATAGGAAGGGTTTGACGCCATTAAGGGTCTATGAGCAAACCATTCTTCGGAGTCACTTTTACTGCGGGCAGCATTTGCATGGGCAGCAAAACGGCTGGCATTTTCTTCAGCCCCCAACGCGGCCATCTACTATGATAGCTGGAGCAATGACCGTTGTCTTATGGGTGTGGCTATCGGCGAGGATAATTTAGCTAAGCTACATCCATTTGATAATTTTCATTGGCTGACGGCAGCTCGCTGCCAAGGCAATAGGCGGGCGTATGTGAACAAGGCAGCCGAACCACGAAACTTTTCACTCCCTACTTGTTAACTAAGTGAAAAATCCACTCAGAATGGAGCGAAGTTGGCTTACCTTGAGTACTTTCTACTTTTGCTCAAAAAACAAACCCTCTTTACCTAGTGTTCTAAAGTAGACTTAATTTGGATTTAAGAGCTAACCTACACATATTCGAGCGACAAGATCCTGATAACACATGATTGTAGATTTCGTTATCCAAAGGAGAGGTGTATCGCAATCCAAAGTTCCCTTGCCTCGATTAATGGTGCCAGGAATACGCTAACTGGTTTACAGTGGCGCTACGCTGCCTGATGTATTGGTTATAAATGGATTTCAAAAGTCGAAGAAAGCCTTACCGCATGATCATAGTCATTGCTTATTCTATTATGAACAAATTCGCGCTATAATTCGTGAGATGAAATAACTATTCGCCAGAATATGCATAAATGACAATAGGGAAAACAACGGATACCCTCACATAGATTGAGCAATTCGGTGTCTATGTCGACAGTGACAGAGTGAGAACTGTCAACTTTCTTCCCATCAAACTTGTTTCATGATCATTTTGGATTAAGTAGCAACAATGTGTTTCAATTCACAATTAGACGAATACTAATTACAAGGTACCAATTGAATGTATTCTATTTCTTCATTTTAATTTAAATTTGTTCAAAGGGCACCTACCATTTGCAGTTGAAATGAGTACTTTAAAATAGTGAACTTTTTAACGTCCACTTTACAGTGCAGAGAACCAGTAGTTAGTGATTGCGCAATGACCCTCCGGCGCAAATTCGTTTACGTTAAGGCAACGAAAAATGTTATCAGAGAGGATTCTGTACCTGATTACTGTGTGCTTTGGTGGGCAAAGGGACGGCTGCCATATTTTTTGGCAATACCCCTAAAAATGGCACAAATAACGGATGTTGTAGCATTAAAAACATGCATACGACAGCGCAGCCATCAAAAGCGACTACTCAACTTCCCCTGAAGCATGACGTCACCGTTGGCAGTAGTGCTGAAGCTTTGCCACCCTTATTTCGATTACGTTCAAAGGCATTTCAGGTCGTGTGCCATGACTTACACCCGGTTGTGCAATGACAAGGCTCCGCTCTCGGCCCTCAAATGCACTTTGCACAGCACCAGTCCATTGCTGTCGAAAGATGAAAGCCCCAGGAGGATGAAGTTATCTCAAATGCCGACTAGAACTCGCCAATAGCGTTATAAGCTATGCGGCGAGTCGACCACCTGTTGCAGACCCAAGGCTCAATTTAGAATATGTGGGTACCAATCTGCTTCAACCGTATCGATTAAGACCACTTTTCTTACTGCTAGTCGCTGGTGGCGTTACCTCCCCCTAATTGGAGACCCCGAATACCACTTCACAAAATGACGAGTAAGTACCCACTTTGCTACAAAAAAACAGTTCACACCGCCCACCTCCAGACCAGTTAATAACAGCGTACTTAGGCAGCCCAGATGTCGCCACTGGCCAGGAAGAACGCAAGAAGTGAAATCAGCACACCCTAGCTGGGCACAGCTTCATAATACTGAAGCCCATATTAGGACAATGAGAGATGGCTAGTCGATGAAACGTTATAATTTTCCATGGCGGAACGGACTATACGAAAACCCCTCAGCACAGCAGGATACTAACTCGCAAAAAGAATACATAAATGCAATAAGAAATAAGGGCAAGTTGCGAAAATACATTTACTGTAACCAACGCATGTTCTCCTTTGCAATGAACGAGTGTTAGCATACCTGGTTTTTACCAATGTCTGTAGCGTAGTATTTCATAAAACTATTTCTTTGGCCCTTTATTAAGAGGAGCGCCTTTATCCTTTCCGCGGAGTTTGATTCCAAGGGCACGCTCCAGCTTAGTAAGGATGGTTTGGTTAGGAATCGCCTTTCCTTGTTCATACTCAGCAATAATCTTGAGTGATTATGCAAAGCCCATAGGACAGACTTACCTGAGGCTTCTCATTGATTTTTGTAGCGAGTTCTTTCTGAGTGAGATTAGCGTCTTGTCTGCCTTGCATAATCAGCCGTCCAACATCGAGAGAAATCGTAGCATGATGGAAATCTTCGGTTTCCTCATCTAGTTTACTTATATTTTTGGGATTTGCATGCTGCTTGTTTGAACCGGCAGCCCATTTCTTCTCTGTCTGAATTTCTATACCCTGTCGGGTAGCGGCATTTATCGTCTAACGACGAATTAACGCATAACGTGTGCATACCGCATTGTCTCTTAGATTGACAGGACGAGCACTCATACTGGCACACCCTCAAGCCGATACACAAATGCAAACTGACTGATGATTGGAGGTATCAACGTAGTAAAACCAATTTCACCATAACATCATTAAAATAAGCATTTCTTTACTTCACAAGCTGTATGAACTGAACAGATAAATCCGGATTTTATTAAAAGACCATTGCGCTGAAAACAATGGGTGGCATTTAAAAGACACTATTTAAGAAGTTTAAAGGACGGCAGATTGGATCATAGTAATAACGTTGAAAATTTTGTTCCACGAAAATTACTTTGAGCTCTGCAATGTATATACGGTAAAACGAGGTTCCCCATGGAAAGCTATAAACCAAAATTTTAGCTAATTTCTGCATATGATTCTAACGTAGCGTCCCGAGACTTCCCTGAAGACGAAAGAAGATACAATACTCGGGCAGAATATGTGTCCAGTGCGGAGAAGGCGTCGGGGCTATTGGCATGGCCCGAAGGCCCAGCCTACCCAGCAAGGTACAAGAGGGCTTATTCAAGGTTCAAAGTGGCGCCTCACCAATACTGGGGTGTAAACCACTAGAGTATTACAGCTAAAACTTATTGAAAAGTCTATTATGAAACTGTCTGCATTGTTCTACCGGCCGAATTAAGTCCAGTTAGGTAGATGCTTGAGCAGCATTGAAATGGGAAAGGATTGACAAGGTGGGATAGATAAGAACATTAGCCCTTAGCTCTTATTATTAAAAGTGCTTTTTAATAAATGATCCCGGCCTTGGGCCGGTGTTTTCCGGATATCAATCTACGCAGGAAAGACCCTTGCCGTAGAGTGTGGGCCTGACTTAAGTGGAATGGTGACAGCACATTTTCCTTTTACAACAGGATTTATGAATGGAGAAATTTAGGCACACGTTAAAAGTCTTAAATGGATGATGTTGCTGGTTCTTGGATGGTTTTTAATCTAGGACTACACAGTAGTAATCAACCCTTGAGGATGGCCTAGAGAGGCATCGGTGACAAAGTTTTATATGAAACGGGAGCTGTGTAGCAATACGAGTGTGCTTTTTTTAAGTTCACGGGCAGCTGAGCCTCCGTGGATTTTACTTCTGCCCTTTGGTATGACTCCTTGCCATGTCAGCAACATGTCGACCCTTCTGTACATCAGTGATATACGTTCCTTACGCTGAATTGGCTTGTTGCAACTGTAGTACGATAGTGGTTTATCCCTCGGTTCTGGTGAGGCGCCACTTTTGTACTTTGAATTAGCCCCCCTGTACCTCGCTGGCTGGGGCTGGCCTTATGGGCCATGCCAATAGCCCAGACATCTTCTATGTGCTGAATATGTATATTCTGCCCGAGTATTGTGTCTTCTTTCGTCTTAAGGGAGTCTCGGGGCGCTACACAACTTCAGGGAGAAGTAAGGAACTGTACTAGCACAATGGACTACAGTGAGAGGTATTTTCACAGCCGCTCAGAAAATGTTTAGCCGCAATCCTCTGCAAGTTTTTGCAAATGTACGACAGTTTTGGGCATTTTGTTTAATTATACTCTTTGTCCTTTTAAGACAAGTGGTGTTATAGTGCTTAACCCGATTTCAGGGAAGTTTATTTTTTTTTCTAATAGGGCTAGACCACTAGCGCACCCTTTGTTAAGATGACAAATATGCACGTGCCCAGAAAAAAATTTTAGTTTTTTACTGGAAAAAATATTTGTTAGCAAATACTTTTTACGGGCTGGGTGAAGTATTACATTCTAATTTACCATGATCTTAACAATGTTATATTAGACTTTGCCCTTCCGCCCTGTTAGCGTCAGTTTTTCTCAGTCGCTTTTGATGGAGCCGTCGTTCGTTCTCGATACTGGTGGTACTCGGTGGTAACTGTCTCCATATATATTTTACGCAATTAGTATCTCAAATGACAGTCCCATAATTTATTGCTCGTCAAGATCATGCTATGGAGATGCCGAGGAAGACACTCCAGTCAAGTCAATTATTTCTCCCCGTAAGTTTCGGAGAGTAGCCATTTCAAAGCGATATCACGAGAATGGGAAATTTTCAAAAATCAGGCCTGGATGTATTTCGTAAGTAACATACTTTTGATTAGAAATTCAGTTCCGAACTTCGTGAGGCCCTGCATATTTCACACCATGATATCCCTTTACACATTTATCGGATGCGTTCTATGGGTTATCCTCCCGGATGGTTGCGTAAAGCAAAGGTGGAACAGCTGCCATTTTTTGACGGTGAACACGAGGTCGACAGTGGTCTTGAAGGTGATCAATCGTCAGTTTGGTGTCTCTTAATCCTTCGACTACTAATGCTTTAGGCTTTTTTCTGTTTCACTCGTATGTTTTGTGGGGTATTTGTCTATCAATAACACTTAAAGTGCTTTTTTGCATTTAAACTAGTAGAATATAATGAGGATGCAATCATTGCATATCCTGGATTCAACGTCTGCTCTAGTAAATTACGCGATGAGTACTTCACACTTCAGTGTCCCAGCATTCAAAGGCGTCACTTGCTGAAAAACTTCATCTTTTCCCTTCGTAATAGTTCCACCAATATCTTGGAATTTTCTCGATATAAGGAATCTCTTGAAAGCAAAGGTTGTTCTATTTTCTTAGCATAGTCTTGTTTTCATACTTCCCTGATAGGTGCCAATTACACCACTCCCTTTCATTATTTTATCGGTTTCTCCCCTAATTAGATTTGAATGATCTGAAGGGTGAGCGTCAGCGATTGCTATCGGAAATAAATGCTTTAGAGAACTCGCTCCCATTAACTTCTAACCATTCCGGTAGGTCCATCCAGTTCTTAAATCGCTATAGCCTATGCTTTGGGATGCATATTTGAGTGAAATTCGATCATATTTTGCGTGCCAATTGTTTTGACTCACTTTAACTGACGATTTCTCCAGTTTTTTGCAGTAGAAAATTGCCCATCGATTCATAGTTCACTCTTGGAATTTCCGAGAATAAGACTATGTTGGCTAAGCATTTGCCTTGTTGGTAGTGAACCATCTGATTTTATGCGTAACTATCAGTGCTTTTTAATGAACGTTTAACAGAATTATTGAATAAATGCAAGGAGTTATCGAAAACGCGCTTAGACCCCAGTGAATCAACGTTTCTACGTGAAGCATCGGATAGTCCTAGAGCATCGCTTGCTGACCAAATCTTCCCACTTAACGCCGAATCTGCCTCAGTCGACGGTAAGTCCTGTGCAAATCTATTGGTTGCTAAGTTCTTAGCGAGTCAAGGTGCAAGATTCAGAATCACATTTGGTCGTGTGTAGGATTTAAAATTAGGTGGCTGCGAAATGGTTGCCTTCTAACGTGATAAAGGTGATATAGATAAATAGTTATTTAAAACTTTATTATAGATCGCGCGAAACGTGCATATTTGGTTAGTGAGTCTTTACGTCTCCTTGAAAAGATAATCACTTATGCATCGTATCATGGGTAACCTTCAATTCCCTGCAACCGTCGCATAAAAATTGACTGCTGTGATTAATTGCGCTTCCACCTTGCGATGCGGTATCTAGCGCAGCATAGATAAAAAAACGGAGGGGGCGATGTCTGGTTAAATGAACTACAACTCAACTGCAACGTTTTCACACACTTATTTTTTTCAGATGCTGATCGTGAGAGGGAGATGAGGGGCAATGCCACTACTGTGGAGGCTGGTTTTTATGGAAAAGTTACCCAATGGAGCGCTGTGGGTGAATCAGCCAAAGAACAATTGGAGCTAGAATCAGAAGAGGGTACTGCTATTCCCTCAAGTGTCGCTCACGTAGTTGCAAATACTAGTAGTAATTCAGGTTCAGGAAGCAGTCCACTTAATATATCATGCGCCCAGAAAAAGCTCCCTGAACTTGAGGCCTTTAGCTCTGGAATTCAGCCTTTTGAGCCTTATAAAAATCTACCCAATGCTCAAGGTGCCTACAACCGCGTTCGTAACACGCTTAAATGTGCAAAGGGCAACCCTACTACTTTAGTGAGATCTGAGACGCAAAATGAACCTACTCGGGAATTGCCAATGTCAGAAGATCCAGCCCCTCGATCCGGGCTGTGTGAGGGAAGGCATGGATGCCGGCCGGCCATTTCAATGGATTCACGCTTGAATTCCTCTTCAGGGGTCGAGAATCGACTTCAACGGTCAAATAAGGAAAAAATTGACAATCAAGCTTGCGAAATGGACAAGCTCCACTATCGTAGGCGTCATCTCCGACAAGATAATTTGTGTATCTTGGAAAGTAGTCATAGGTGCCATCCTAAGAAGCCGCTGCTCCAAGAATTTGACCACATAACCTACAGGAGTCCCTATCCTGCCTGCCATAGTGCTCAAAATGAACGTTATTCATTAGGAGAAGGATCCATTTGTGGTCGATATTCGAGGAGTTGCCATAGTGCCCAGGGGAACTATTTCGGTCATTATGCGTGGCACAATAGTTATCATCGTTAGGCCGTACATTATTTCTCTTCAATTGTATATTGTCTCTCATATACCTACCTCCCTATGTATATGTTTTAAAAATGAAATTTAAATACACTAGCTTTTCATATTAACTGAAATTCACTCTTCTCTATTGCTCTTATCTTCTAATTCCACGAACCGCATTGTTTTACTTATGCTTGAAAGTAGTCTTATATGTCTAGGGTTGCAAAGCGCTGCTTACTTATCAATGTTGTTATTAGTTTGAAATGCCCTTTTAAGGGATTACAGGGAAGGTTTATTACAACGGTGTTTTAATACTACAAATGAATGCGTGCAATTGCGTCCCATCGCTTCTGGATGGGTTTATCCTAAAAACTATATGCGTTTTATTACTTCTTAAAGTGTCAGTGCCAACTGGACGAGTTGACTCAGAGTGATCAAGTTTGATCTTGTCACCAAGTGAAAATGAACAGGTGCCTCACTAACTTCGTCACTATTAATAAGTCGGTGAGCTTCACGACATAAAGGCAATAGACGCACGGGGATTGTACTATTGTGACTCATTGTGTGTTGCGGTTATCGGCTTTGTTTTTTTGTCGTTCCGTCTTAACATTTATTATGTTGAAGATTCTGGGGGAGAATTTAGAACGAGACAGTTTTGCATTCTGGAGTGTGTACCAGTCTATTTAAAGGATGCAGCATCTGGGGTAGTATTTCCAGATTGGTCTAATTCTTTGCACTTCTACTTTTTATCTGAAATGATATCGTCGCCGACGGTGATGAAAATTTTGTTCAGTAGTGGTTAGTATGCTTGTATCCGTTCGACGCCCTTAGGTGCCTGTGAACCCACCCTCAAAGGTACCCCAAGGCGGAGCTAAGGTTCGACCAGAACGCACTCAGTCTGTTCCTGCTCCGATGGCTGCTGAGGATATAAACAAATTCCTCGCTCACCCTGATGGCGAAAGCAGTGATAGCTCTGATTGGAGCGATGTTAAGGAGGAAGATGAGGAAGAGGTCGAGTCATGGGGAATGAGAACTGCTACCCTTAATGCTGTTTCTACTCCGTCACCAATTCCACAACCTACCAGAGGTTTGCTTAATATTCAAGTGCATTGTGGCTTGATAATGTGGTGTCAGCATTTACTTATTCTAAATACAAAATACTGCCACCGTACCAGCTTATTACGCCTTAAACTACATCTTATCTTGAAGGAAGCCGAACAATATCTTCCCCAAACGTCTCCTCACCAGACAAAATTTTGATTTTAGGTATTCATTGTTGTTATTGTTACTTAGGTAGAAAACCAAGCTAATAACAAAGTACTTATATTCTATTCTATCGATTGACACCAGTCGCAGTTTGTTACAGAGTCCATTCAGCATTATCGAGGTTTTTCTTCACAGATGTCGGGGTTGCGGAACTCTTTGGTCCAGCACGTACCAACATGGAACTTACCAACCCACAATCTGCTAACACTGAAAATGAAAGCATTCTCGATCATACTGGCGGTATGCGCTCTTGTCTCGGTTCTTCAATCTTTTTTTCCTAGCTTGGCGATCAGGACTAAGTGAGTATGGACTAAAAATTCGGGACTCATTGTCAAAAATAGCCTCTGAGAAGCATGAAACGCATATTGAAAGGGAAGTTCATCGAATTGTTTGTGCTTCTGAGCAAGTCGCAAATATTGGGTCACATGACTCTTTAACTGATTCTCAGCGAAAAGCTCTGCAAATCTCTGAGTTCAAACGCGCTAATGCTCGTAAGTTGCTATTTGGATTATCTGTTTGCTAATCGTTTCTCCAAGTTGAGATAATTTGCCTTAATAGAAAAAGTGAGGATTGGAATGCTTGTGTTTCTTAACCAAAGTTCCTATTCGTGCTGTAAAAGGTTATTTTTAATATATTATGTGGCGTGATTTTACTATTTCTTTTTCTTTCTGATCCATCAATTTCCCCCTTTGTTTATAGTGGCATCGCTTGGTAACTCTCGAATGGGTTCACCTTCCTTCTCATCATTATCGAAAGATGGTGGGTACTTCGTGGCTGTACCCACAAATATACGTGTCATGTAGGTTTCACATTTACTACATTGGCAAGTATCTTGCTTTGCAGAAAGCATGATTAGACTGTGCCGTCTTGGCATCATATCATCATTTAAGCCGTGATGCATCTATCTAAAATACATAGCTAGTTGCATATTCAGTTGGTCACCTTCAAATCATAACAGACATGTTTGTTAAGGTATTTTCCACCCAGATACAATATATTTGTAGAAAATACCATTAAACTGTTTAGACGATCTCAAATCTCCTCCGAGCTATGGGCGGCACGAACGAGCAATCGGCGTGTTTTTAGCCTCTCCCAGTATGTTCGTGAGGCGGTGGGGTCAAGTGGGTCGAGTCTGCAGACAGAGGCTACGGTGCTTGTCGGCGTGATAGGTTCAAAGACCCCACCACGTCGTAGTCGAAATAACAAAATTTTTTCAATTTGGCGGCTCACGGATCTAATGAAAGTAGGGACAGGAGCCCCAAACGGACAAAATATCAGTCTCTTCCTCTTCGGAGCTGTGCATGAGAAGTTATGGAAGGAACCGGAAGGAACCGTCGTGGCAATTCTTAAACCAAAATTACTTTCATCCAGCGAAGTAAGCGCGTCGATTTCGGTATCTGTCCTTCTGCCACTAAATTATTGCATTGTTTAGTGGAGGTTTTACGCGTTCTTCACTAAATTTTATGCCTCTTAACTATCCGTTTGTATTTGTAAATTTATCATCCATAGTAAACTATTTGGTGAACCAGATTTTCCCCTGCACTGAATGATTCTCAAAATTTCTGCAAAGGGTTCGTGCGTGTTGAAATGTTTTACTTTTGCTCCATATTTGTCATTGAAAAGAATGGCAACTTAACAAGCACCAATGCTGCCGGCTTATCAATTACCGTGGACTCTGCCCCGTTTGTGATGCTTCTTGGAATGTCTTTTGATTTCGCGCTCTGTGCTGCCACTACCAAAGTTGGAAGGCCTTGCAGTAGGATTGTTAATAAGTAAGCGGTGGTGCGATTTTCATCTCGTTACACGGCACTGTGAAGTTTTAGGCTTATGTCATAAGGTAGTGTTATTAACGTGCATATTAGGCAGCTTTATGCGTTTGGACGAATGTGTAGTAGTCTACTATTCTTAATCCAGTGGTCCCGCTTCGCATTCATCCCTGTTTTTTTATGTGCTACTTTCACGTCCTATTTCTGCATTCTTGCGTGTACAGCTTAATCATTCGGCATTGATGCTTTTCTACTCAGTTGTTGTTAGTAAAAATTCAGTTGATGTTTTAGTGTCTAGTTTCATAGTTTACACGAGCCTAATTTCCTTCCAAATTCCTCGCTTGCAGTATAGTTTTTCGGAAATTGGTAGCAGCATTTTTTTGCTATTACGGCTTCTTCGTTTTTTAGGAATATATGCCGATACTGCGATTTGCATGTCAAAGCTGCATACCATTCCGCTAGCAGCATGCGACCCGGTTTTGCAACCGCGCTGTAAGGGTTCCCTGTTATGGTGTTTCTCTCCAAAACTATTGGTTTTAATATTTTTTAAATATACCAGATCTTAATGAGTCACATGTGCCATATATTTCATATTTTTTCTCTATTTTCTAGAATATCAAAAAGATGACTTTATTATGTGATTTGTGACGACCTTAGGATCTCCAAACCAAGTTACGGTCAGCGTCGTGGTTTGAAGAGGTCGATCGGTATTTCCTCAGCTTTGGCTCAGTCGAGCAGTGCATTCTTACCACATCGCCCGGCCTCTATGCGGGTCGATCGCAGTCAAGACTCCCGCGTTCATAGCAGACCCGCCGTGTGAGCTAATGGTCTCATTCTATTGTGATATCTTCTTATTTTCTCAAATTGACACTAAGAGACTCCTAAAGTTTTTCCTCTTTCCCTTTTTCTGCTGTATAATATGCAGATCTCGAGATATTAACTTACTCTCGTTTGAAGTGGGTCACGTTGATTTTTTTAAAATCCATTAACTTATGAACACCTTTAATGTACAAGTGTTGCTTGTACAATACCTTTACTTTCCCACCCCTGTTGTGGAGTGATTTGAATTTTTTAAAAACTTTTCATTTATATGGTTCCATTCGCTGTCCACTATTATTCTACCTATTTTTTATGCTAAAATAACATGACCTTCCTTGAAAATATTAGTATCTGGCGTTGTATCCAATGCAAAGTTGATTGAATCACAAATATTTACTTAGCGTTGATAACTCCACTGGGTCCTGTTTTTATTGTTGTTTTCCTCTTTTCGCGCATTTGACTCCCATGATTAACTTCAATTACTTTAGTTTTTTATGCTTAGTACAATTAATAGCGAATTCGGTTATCCGAAAGCGCAGAAATGTTTTATCAAACCCATAGAGAACGCATTTACTTCCTTCACACTAGATCGTTTTATTAACTTCCCACGATTTCGCGATTTCGGTAGCAATCGCGCGGGAGCTGACAGTCTTTGCGGAGACGTATTCCTTCCCAACCCATTGTCAGACTCTGAAACTAACGCTGAATCCGCGATTAATTAATTGTGAATTTCGGCAGTTATCACTTCAAATTTTAATTGGCTAGTGCAAATACGCAATTCAGTTAACAGCAAGTCTTTCAGAATTAGCTTCACCAGACCTTTCAGGAATATAAGGGGTCGTGTGGTGCCCTGTTCCTCTGCTCTCCTCGTGTTACTACTGCTACTTAATCGTGACTTTTAACGAATTCACTTTTTATGGTGGCAATTCATATTACCTATGCATCACGATCTAGACGATGACGATAAAAAGTAACACTGCCTAGTTCACGCCCCAACTCCACTTCTGCGTGGTTTTCCTTTGCTTCGTAATTTAATGAATTCTTGCTTATTTCCAAACCCATCCACACGGAGGTTTAGGAATGGTTACGCGTTCATAGGTTATGCTTGTTTTTAGATCGCCCCGGTTAGCCATGAATATAGCTAAGTTTGCATCATCTAGCCACCCAATTGATCAGTCCCTGTCAGCTCTGTCTACAGCTTCCAAGGCCTCGCTTCAGTCGGCGCCTTCGGAATTGAAAGTTCCCTTTGCTTCTACCCCAACTCGTCCTACCCGAGGTTCTTTGAATCTCCTTCGTTACTTTGAGACCGCCAGTGCTTCTCATTTGACCGTGCCTCCACCCTCGGCCAAAGATAAATACCTGAAAAATGCAACACCTCAAGCGAAGTTGCATGAAACTTTCTCCACCTTCTTCGCGGGCGTAAAAAATAAGGTAGTTGTGATGGTAATTCAATGACCAACTCCCATGTATGAAATTTATGAATTTTATTTTTAATTTCGGTCTATATTGTGTACGCAGACACTAGCACAGAAGCCTCAAATTGGGCGTGAGTTTGAAGCGGGCGCAAGCGATGATTATTTTGTCGATTTGGGACCAGTTTCGGCACAAGACTCAGAACTGAACACGACCCTCACAGTCCTGCCCTCACGCGATGCTGCTCGTCGGCGATCTGAGGCCCTCGTCCGGACCAGGGGCGGGATCGATGCTCTGCATCAGTCTGCACGAGAACAAACTCAGAAACGAATACTTGACATAGTCTCTCAGCCACCCTCCAAAAAGACTAAACCTTCGTGCGTTATATCTTTTTATACAGCCTTAATTTGGCTTCGCTCATGGCATCCGTATGAATTCTCCTTTTACGCTTAAATGTCCTTAAAATTGGGACAGACTTCTGTTTTGTTCTTTGCATCATTCAGCATTTCTATTGTGAATAGTGTTCTCGCTGATGTCCAGTCCATTTCTGTGCTTAAGAATATTTCTCTTCAGGTTTCACTTTATACTATTTGGTTTTCAAGATACGCATTTATTGTAACATTCTCATCCAAACATAGCTTTCTTTCCGAGTCATTATCTTAGTGTTAACGTAGGGTAGCTTAAGTAGTTTGCAGCACACGAAGCCCTGGCTTTACTATACCTTCCACCATACTTTGTGTAAGCCCGCGGCTCCGATCGGCTGCAACCGACTAATTGGGACTTCATTGAACTAAAATTAATTTCCTCCATTCCCTTGTAGCCCACTTACACGGATACTAGGTCCAGTATCGTTTTCGGAAATGAATACAAATTCTGAACAGGAGGGCTGTGAAAGAACTCAGAAGGCTTCAGACACTTGGAAGAGTGGGAACCGTGAGGAACTTGCCAGGTTGGTCAGTCAGGGTTCGCGTCACGCTGACATTGCTGCTGTCAACGAAGCCAGCGCTGAATGGAAGCTGCTCTCTTGCCTCGAAGCACGCGATAGCATTGAGGAGAAGCTTTTAAATCAGCATGAACAGGAATGCCAGGTCGTCACTTGCCTCAGGGTGCGTCCACAAACTTCTGTAGGAACTTGAAGTGTTTTAATGTCTGAACGAAATCACCAACCTACAGGGCTGTTCATTTTTTATTAGATGTTCTCCGATAACTTAGAAAATCAGTAATTACTGGGTGTCAGGTCTTTGGCGTCTGATTAAATAAATTAAAATGAACCAAACTAACACAATGCTTCCTACGTCCTACGATTTCTGCTTCTTTATTATTTCTGGAAGTAGTAATTAGGTATAACAATTCGCATCTTTTAAGGTTGCTACACAACAAGCATTCCGATTTCTTGCACCCATTTCACTTATTTTAGAAAATTGCTGATTACCACCTTTTTTCCTATTTTAACTGTAGTATTGCGGTTAAAACAAGGAAAATAGAGTCATTACGGTGGCTATGGAAATTGGTATTTCATAATCATCCTTGAAATGAGTAACATGTTTGACGATATCACTTGCCTTAGCTTCTCCTTTCCGTATTTTTACATGAAACAAGTAATTTAAAACTTGTCTAAAATCTGGGCAATATTGTTCGTTACTTGGTGATTTGGTATTTTGCAAAATTTGTCGCTTTGTTATCTGGAGAGGCCTGATTTATTTAGAATAATTCATCTTCTAGCCCAATATCAATTTGTTTGATTAAAATTCTCCGTATTTGCCTTTAATCAGACTAATGCGCAACTTTCCATTTGACTAATGATCAGTGTTGTCAAGTGCTTTGCTTTTGGTGACACATTGGCGAAATTGCAGGTTCATACTAGATTTTATTTCAACCACTGTTAGCTGATTTCGACTAGAAGTGTTTGCCTGTCGGGGGAGAATATGAAACTTAAAATTCTTCATTGGCGCCAGTTACCATTGCAAGGAAGGGGTTAGGAATTTAGCATTAGCAACATTTACCTTACTTTAAGGAATGGAAGTTTAACTTTGAAGCAAAAGATAAAAACATCCCCTGTTGTTTGCTTCATTCATGCGCGATCCACTGCAACTTTGTCGCGATTTCATTTAGTGCCAGTATAGATCGCTACATGCCAGCCAAATTTGCCGCAAAGAAGGACACAAATTGAGGTTTTCCATTGGTGTAAGGCGCTTCTTCGCCTGTCGAAATTGCAAAACCAGGATGACTACGTTGGATCGCTATCCCAACTTTGCATGCACGTAGGTTTGTTTTTAGGCTTCCGTCTTTCCCCCTTGACAGTCTGTTCAATTGACTAGTCTCTTTATATTTGAAAGCCATATATTTTCATGACGATTATAAAATTTCACTTTGAAGAGTGTCAATTTTTTTGTTTAATCGAGTCAATAATACCCCATCAATTTGGGACGTTGTAGTGGTCGGAAGGTGTGACAGTCTACCTAATCCGAGATCTGTATATGAGCTGTTTCTAGTAATGTTTTTCCTGTACTATAATGAAATTATCTGCACTCGCTCACACTTGGCGGCTCAGTTGATTGTTGTTGGTGGTGCTCTGTGGTTTCAGTTTTCCCCTCTGATTTGAGTACCTCAATAAAGAACCTCCTTAATTTGGATATTAGGCGCCATGCTTGCTGGTTAACGATCCATTTAGATCATTACAACATATTTGGACCTTCAATTGGTATCATTGCCCTTTATCGCTCAGCGTTGCGCAAGTTTTTTTTTTCTTTTAATCTAGATGCCACCATTGTCCATTCGTTGTCGAATGGGCTCGCTATGTGCTGTTTGGTTCTAGCACTTACCTATTCAAAGTTTCTAAATAAAGTCCAATTGCTTGAATGTTCTGATTGAAGATTTTGATCTACTCTCGATAATGCATTTATTTTAATATAATGCAGCTTATGTGTTTTTCAAGTCCAACTTAATTTAGGTAGGTTTAGTTTTAATTTATATAAATAGGCTTATTTTAAATTACCGTTTTTGGATATCCATATCTTTTCGCACCAAAATCTGACATTCTTCCTACACTGAACGAACAAGAGAAGTGTTTCTCACCTGCAATATCAAGCATGTATGTAGCCAATCCTATGATTCCGCAAGTCTTGCTCAATGTAGGGGTGATTTGAGGATAAAGACGCCAACTGTCAGATGCGACAAACTTTTAACACGTCCTCTTAATTCTTCCACATCCGATATCCTTACCTAAATCATTGTTTGCTTTACAAATCGGGTTTTATTGTGTGTGGACACTCATGTGGATTACTTTTTTAGTGATGCCAGAATAATCCCAAGCTGTTCGGCGTTTGTCAATTTCAACTACGCACCTATTTGTCGCATTATGTTCTACTACTTCATTGGTGTCAAAATCTTGTACTTTTTGCCTTATCTCCAGATCCGTTGGTTTTTCACTTGTGTTTTGAACGGTTTGATTTAGTTATGAGAAACAGACTCAGTGAATGGCGTGTTTTTTGCGTATATTTTGGCTTGATGTGCTATACCATGCGGCCACGTCTCACGCCAGGTAGCTTCTTCAAAGCCAAAGCCCCAGAGAAGATGTGAAATCTTTTCGGCGGTCTTCGACCACCCGCACGCCAATACCGAATCATCACAGTAAATCCTTCTTTGAGATGTGAAATTTTAATTTTTAATTGCCACTTTTTTAGCAAATGTGGCGAATCCCTATTTGAAAAAGCCGGTGCAATTGCTGTAAGTTACTGTTCATGGTTCGCGCTACAGAAGGTTTGTTTTAAATAATCTTGCCACGCATTTTCTGGGAATGATGTAATTAGAGCTTTGCAGTACCTTTATCAAGCTACCATGGCTCAATATTTTCTTCTTTTTTAGAAGCGAAAAGGTCCAAAGCTGGCTGGTGAGAAATTACTCATCCGTGGAATTGAGGAAAAATATCTATCGTAAATATGGATCTTGATTTTATCAATGTGTACAAGGAAGTCAACGATATCCTTTTTGTACTTGAGCATAACTTAGCTAAAACTTGTAATAAATTATTTTTTATATTCTGAACTTTTCGTGCACCAATATGGAATGCGTTTACATGCTAAATTCGTCATCTGGTATATTCTAGTTTTCATAGCTTTTGGCCAGTACGAAGTTGGAGTGTGTCTTTTACACTTTATTTCTGACTAAAAGTGTTTCGATGATGCAAAGAACAGCGATTTACCGGTCCCTGCATAGTGTTGGTAATCAGGTGGGTTCGTTGGCCAAGGTATTAATGATTGGACCTTAGTGTTGACACCTTCAGGGCTGTCAGCGGCTGTCAGTTGTTAATTTTGGTAAGGCGGTATCCTTCAATTAACCAAATGTAGTGTGACAATGCGACTGCAGAAACTGGCTATTCCACTTTGTGTGCAGGGCTCAAGATGGGTTCACACATTAAATTATAAGTTTGCTGATTAATTTAAACCTCCAAGTCTAAATGACGTTGGGGCATAATAAAACGTGTTAGGGGCAGCGAACGTATTTAGCCTTCGCTTTTCGGGGAGTTGGTGTGTTCATGCCTTCCTGCAACAGTTGAACGTAATTCCATCCTAGTATCAGCATTCTTGAATCCGCTTGTTCTGTTTAGGAGGGGCAATTATTTGTTTTCTGGATTAGATATGAGATGTTTCCACTTTTGTGTCAAGGTGTTGGTGGAAATTATGGCTCCCCGTAAAATAAAAAAAATATTGCTTCAGTCAATTGCTTTGGTCATTTTGCGACTCTTGACCAGTTATCTTTCTCCAAAAAGTCAATATTTGCAGTGATTTTCCACATTGGGTGGTATTACGTAAAATTTCATTTTTATATCGCATCGAGCTTCAACGATAGTAGTGCCATCCACCGTTGCCGAGGTTGGCTTGATTATACCCTGTAAAACAAATTTTAATTAGCACACTGGTACGAAGTATCACACTTTTTGTTCCAGATTATTTTGACAGAAACAGATTTGCGGATAGTAGCAAGGGGAGAAATATAGTATTTGATCCTCAGATCATACTAGCGCTAGGTCTCATGTGCGTTTCTTTCTTCGGACTAGAGTCCAACGCCGCGATGATTTGATGGTCTGCCATGGGTGTTGCTTGGTTCCCACCGGGCGGGTATATCTGTCCCAATTGGTTAGGCGATCTGTGCAGAGTCTCAAAGGCAACACTCTGAAAGTCTGTCTGCATTTTCGTTGTTGCCAGCTGAAATGGTGCCTCCACAGCCGAGCTGAGTGAAGGTAACCTCACCACCGATTGATAGCAACTTGACATTTCACTCGTCAGCTTAGCGGCCTGGCTATTTTCTAGACACAAAATTAGGAACACTTTTCACCATGCGTCTAGCTTCCGTGAAGTAAATTTTGTTTTTAAGAGGCATAAAAGTGAGACCAACTACCATGTTAAAATAAAAATTTTCTTTTTCTTCGTGAATAAGAAGGCACGTGGAATATTTTCAGTGACGCATCAATATGAATTTGTCGTACCAAAACTAAGTCCTCATTTCGTTCCTCCCAGTTTTTAACTGACCTTCAATTGGCTGGAGATATGGGGGTAAGGATACCTGTTTCCACATATATGGGACAAAAATTTTCGTACGTCTTACAGATACCGTGCATTTATTCATTTTTAATTAAACTTCCTTAACTGTATGAATTTCGGTCGTTGTCAGTCTTATTTAACTAGTAATTGTTCAATGTAATGTGTGCCCACTTTAGAAAAAGACGCATGTGTCAAACTTATTAAAGATAAAAATTCTCATCGACTTGTGACTTAGTGAAATATAGATAATTTCACGGTTACATGGTCGAATTTTTGCGTTCATGTAAAAATAGCACACAACAAAAGGGCGCGTGCAAGACGACATTTGTTAACCCTCAGTAAGGTGTGTGGTGACGAATTAACTAACCCCCTCTGCCAGATTTTAGATTGCAAGCTATTACTACATCCGGAATCCCACACAACACCGATTAATGTCAGTACAATCTATGACACATCCTCACTGTTTTCCCTGTGATCCGCCTCGGAGGCTGAGATGAGGATACCGCTAGACCTCTCCTTGCGTTGTTGATGACAAAAATAGAAGGTTGCAGTAAAGACAATGTTGATAAGGAATAGAGACAGGCCCGCGACGATTGTAAGCAGAAAAATTCGGTTATAACCTTCCTTTGAATCTTCAGTTGTTAAAGGCGCCATCTTCAAGAGCAATTGAAGGAAAGTCATGGCAATGATTACTTCCCATCCTCCTAATATACAATTTAATATCTCCAGCAGGGTATTAGTCACTACCACAGCAAACAGAAGCAATTCCACATCAGTTATTTGAGTAATAGCCAACCCATTTTTCCGGCTAAAATCGCTATTTCAATGTTATTTACTATTCACAAATGAGGGTTCACCTATTGACATGCTTTCAATCGTGTTCAGTGGTCTATTCTATTAAGAATATATGGAATGCTATTCTTGGTAATTAAGAAATATTGCTAACTCTCAATAGAATTTTTGGTGATGAGCAGAATTAAAAACTTCAGCGATTTTGGGGTGAAAAATGGGGTCGTTGATGGGATGAATTAAAGGGTAAAGGGGAACAAAAATTTGTAAGGACGATTATTGCCGTAGTTCACTACTATGAAATTATTGCTTTGATTTATTCTACGGTTTATTTGACAAACAATTCATTTAGTTTAATGAATGCATGGGACGCAATCACCGTTAGCGTTGCTAATTCACTCGTTCATTCGAAGTCATTTATAGCATAACTAAAAGGTGTAAGCAAAATTTGTACTCTACCCGATTTGTATCGTAGAAAGATGGGAACTCTACTGTTTCGTTGTAAATGGTAGAAGGTCTTTCACTCAGTGACACCTGCTCAGTTGATTTGGGTGGTACTGGTGCATATCCATCCATTGCGGCCTCCCCGTACTGAACTTCGGGCACTGCAAAGTGGGTTATGGTTCTGCCCTTACATTGCGGTGTTCTTCTGCTACTAGCAGCAATTTTGGGAAATATTTTCATCCAAAAGGTCGTATAGCGTTTTCTATAAGCCGAAGCAACATCGAGTACATCATTTGGCGGCAACGGCTCATTGAGTCCGACAGTTGGCTTGACTAAAACAAAAATGCCAACACCTGGTGATCATGCTTATTAACTAACTGGAACGTCCTCAAGCGTCACTCTGAATGATGAAAGTAACAATGCGAATTAAATAGGAGAATTTAGAAAGGCTCTAATCAGTGTTTTTGAGATGGATTAATGTCAAAGAAAGAAAGTGCCTAATATGAGGGCGCAGGAATTATTTTGAATGCGCCGATTAAGGTTGTATTTTTTCTTAGATTCTTTTGCTAATTTCAATAAGGCACTTCAAATCAAATTTCTAAACATTCGTTATGAACCGAATGATATCATCTAATCGAAATGGTTCCAGTAGCCTAAAAACATCTCCAGTGTATCGGCCTCTTGGATACTGAATCATGTTGATAACTAGTTCAATGTCATTTTCCGAAACTAGACTATTTATGAATCCTCGGTGTGTACAGCTTGTATAATTCATTCCTAGGTTAGTTACTAGTGTCCGCTCAAGGGAAACACCTACAAAAGATTAACAATAATACTATATGTCAAATATTGTAAAATTAGCGTTCGATGTGCCTTCAAAGATAGCGACTCCGCCTATGCAGCAAAAAGAAGTGATGTGCATACATAGTTTCAGAGACAGTTCATCTCTTGAATTGAACGCTGGCCATGATTTTGCAAGATTTTGAGCAATATTTGGAATTGTAAAATGTTTGTTGGGATCTCTGAAATAAAAATACATATAAATTAGTCTCGCCAGTCTGATAGGTATCTTGAGGTGTGGAAGTTTAACTTTTACGAAATTGCAGAATTTCTGTACACCGGTAATTCATGAATAGAGGTGGTCAACCAAATGATTATAGGTTATATTTTATTAACTGCCTTTTATTTTAGAGATGTGCTCACTGTCAATCAATGCCACCTACCTTCGCTTAGATTCCCCATCCCAATCGTGGAGAAGCCTTTGTCTCTCTACTTCCTCCATGGGTCATAAGTTCAAATAAAAGCGAATTCTAGTCAACCCAATTAATTAATGAATACCTCCTTCGGACCATTAGCTAACATCATAGTCGTGATTGTTATTTTCGGGCAAAATGCCAAAGTCTCGTAAGATAAGAGACGCAAACTGCAACTTCGCGGGAACATTATTTTCGAGCAACTAAATATTGTATTTGTTTGACGCTCCCACCACGTTTTCTTGCCAGTGTGCCTGACCATGAAGCACGGGCAAATGTTGCGTAAATGCCGACGTCATTAATATCCTCTATAAGTATACGAGTGGTAAAGGAGTTGGATAATAAATTCCAGTAAAGTTGCGAAGTAATGCATCCAGTAGTCAGGTTACTCCTATCCACCACCCCTTTTACAGTTGCAGGTAGTAATGTGCTGCTTCATAACATCAAGGTGTTTGATCTAAATCACAGATTCTCCAGAAATAATAATTTAAGACTGATTACCCAAAATGAATGAAGTTTGTAGCATATTGAATAAGGCTCTGAGAAAGGCGTCTTTTCATGCTGCTCTTGAGGTGAAGGCTCGAAACAAATGGTGCACCGAGCAGTAGGTTAAGATCATCACCATAACCCGCCCGGGAAAAGTGAACAACATATCGGGAGGACCCGGCTGAACTAAATTCCGAGCTCTGCTCCTGCTCGGTTTCATGTTGTCTAAGAGTTGCCAAACCAGGGGTCCAGAACAACGCGTCGGTGAAAATTTCGTAGATCTGAAATGATCGCCATTATTGTTCCTGAATCTTTAGCAACATATAAGGCACAAATTGTCACAATTTAAAAGCAAAAATTACCATTAAATTAGAATTAGGTCTCAAATGAGTTATCACCCACAATTTTTTTGTTTCTGAATATATTTTAATTGGATTTCCATTATTCATGTTTAAAATGTAGTTTTTGCATTATTTTACTCAGTCACTTTTGAACACCTTTGTGGTGCATACGAAAACCACCATTAATTAGAACCAGATGAAACGCACCTTGTTTTTCTCATCACTACTATTATCATTTTGTGTCCAAGTGTCAGACTGCACGTAAACGTATTTCAAAAGGTCAGTTAATGGGTAGGCAGCGACTTGAAATACGTGTTCTAACAAGTAGACCAATGCTGGCATGAATTTGCTGACATTGTCATCAATTGCTGCATTTTGGTAAAAAATAGATCCTGCGAATTCCGTTTGTCCGTACATGAGACTGACCCGATTGAAAAGTGTTGGTGTCACAGTGACTACCTGCTGTTTCCTTGGTAGGGGGGAGAAACACCTCTCGAGACCTAGACGGGACAAATTTCGCTGAATTTCGAGGATGGATGTAATAGAAAGATCCTGAAGAAGGTCAAAAATGGAGGCAGAAGAGGACTGTTGCATTTGGAAATTGGCTTCGATAAGTGACTTGATGTCGGTGTCGCATGCAGACGTAGCCCATGGTGCGTTGGCCGATCCGTCGAAAAGGACGAGTCTTTTTATACCATAGTAATTTGGGCCTTATAAGTGAAAATTTACACTTACTGTTAATCATATTATAAAATGTAGACAAAATAATGACAAACTGCATTAATTTGGACATGATTGTGAGAGGGATGGTAGCAAATAGTGGTAGCGAGGAATTTCTGATAATTTTCATTTTTGCGAACGTAATATCACATCAATAGTAAATGCGTGGTATTGTAATCAGGGTAATTTATGCTTTAAAATGCGTATTTTTAGCAAGACAGACTCGCACTCAGATGGGAGATAAAGGAATTGTTATTTTAAATGCCATTTTGCTAATTTCTGGTTTATCTCGGAATAATCCTTCGAGGTACTACTGTTTGATTGGTACATGTAATCTATTTGGAGATTTTCATGTCAGTAGAATCAACTCTAAGATTTCCTTCTTTCGGCACTGGTACAGAAGAAAGCAGGCAGATTTGAAGTGTAGTCTCGGTTTAGAGGAAAATAGTTCGAAAAGCGTGATGAAAAGGGAGTGGCATGGACTGTCTTTTTAGTATACCTATCGAAGTGCTTCAGCTTTAATTATCGCGTTGAGTAGCATAGCGCTATTCATGAACAATTTTTCCCTCGATAAAACTAGCACCCAGATGCACAATGTACGGATTTTACACACACCGAGTTTTAATTAGGGGTACAGATTTGATACGGAATGGAGTACACAAACCAACTGATAGTACGAGACGGCCTGATGATTAGTGAATCCAATTTTTTAAACTTATGCGTAAAACCCCCTCACGTTTAAATTAAACTGTTTGATATTTACTTCAATTGTCCAATTTTTTAGGAAAACTCCTCAGCGATTTGTTTTTTAAGATGTTTGGAATTGGGGTTTATGGATGAACCGTCGCTAAGAATAAAAATAAGCTTAAGTACTCATTTTAATTCAATGAATGAGACGCTGAACATACGCCTGCTGCAATAAAATTTTCAATCAGCAATATAAGTGGTTTAAATCATTTATTCGGACTTGCTTTTGCATAAAATTAAAAATCTTAACAGCGTTTTTATTGGGTCTGCGTATTTCGATCAAGACTTTGTACCGACGTTCTATGTGACCGACAATTTAAATGACGCATTTAGTAGTTGACCAGACATAACTGATTATGAAAGGGGTTGTTACAATGGGCATTAAGGTTTTTATTGGATAAAAGGCTAGTCATTTCTGGTACACTTGTTCTTATAACTGGTAAGCAGCATTTTTGTCGTACAAAACGCAATAGTATAAGTGTGGAAAGATATTCTCATTTGCGTCGAATGGTTAATAATTTGCAAAATATTAGGAGATATAACTTTTGCTTTCTGGAGAACAAATTCATTTGCAAAGATATTTTAGACCACCTTAATCGGAAAAAGAGCCCTCGATATGAAAAACGCCGTCATTGTTTACGCAGTTTCGCGCCATTTTGGTGAAATCAAATCTAATGATAGTCTACTTGAAAAAAATACGATTATTTAATGTTTTGGACTCCATAGGAAGTGGAAATGCAGATCACTGCACTCTGTAAAATTGTCATAAGCACTTACCACAAGCAAATCATTCAAGTTACAACAACAATGTTTACAAAAGTAGTTTGTTCACTTCATGCGAAGTATTTACATGTTTCTACTGTTGTTAACTCATTTATATTGCAATGTGTTAGGTACAGTTACCAAGCTAAGGCATACCTTTATGAAGCATCGGAGAAGATAGTGGTGTTTTTGGAATGCGACTGAACCAGTATTGTAGCGGAAGCTATTTAAAAATGCCAACTTCCACACTTTCCTACACGTTTTTATCGCTTCTGATGCAAAATATAGCTAATTCAGTTTTGACCTCACTCACTCTTCCTGCTCTTAAAAGCCGTCATTTTTTCGACGTCAGCTAGCATGCCACTCACGGATTATCTACACATAAAGCACTAATAAGTACCTAGAAAATAATGCCACAAATTGTTAGAAGATATTCGTTAGCCAACATGTATGCTGCGCATCCTCTAAATGTGCTTGGAGAGAATTTGATTATATTGGGAATGCAGATAATTGCTGAGTTATGTCATGTGCCAGTTATTTACTGTGTTCTAATTCTAGGTTTTGTGAAATTTTTTCCCATATGATCAAAAAGAAAAGTGCTTCCTGGAATGTTACCAATAGACAGCAAGGACGTGGCGAATAAATGCACTAGCGCGGCTCCATGCGAGTGGCCCATCAGGGTCATTTGCTCACAATCGCCTCCGAAACGGTGGATATTGGAGTAGACCCATTGAATCGCGGCCTGCAAATCGAATAGGGCGAAATTGCCTCGAGTCGAGCCAGCGATGTTTTCCGATAGAAAACCTGCAATCGTGTGTTTTTCATTGCATTCAAATCTATGTTAAGCTGTTTGGATTGCATTTTATTCTCAAATACGAATGACTTACACAGATTTCCTCAAAACTTTCAAGACGATAGATGACGACATCTCTATGTGTGTAGCTACAATTTGAATTTGTGACACCAAACTATAGCGGTTTAATTTGTCCGGCTTTATGTGCTCGTACTGCATCGGTTAATAGAAGAAATGCTGCACATCATCCAAATATGCAAGAACAAAATTATGTTTTAAAATTATCCAAGTGGAGACAAATTTTCAGACTCTTTCCTCTTTACGCAATTTTTGAAACAGTCTCCTTCTTTTAAACGAGTCTGTTGGCTGCGTTCGTATTGGGTTGCAATAATAATAGGGATTGGGTTTCACAAAACTTGTATTTCTTTTCTAATATGCAATCAAAATGCAGGGCCACCCATGTCTCTATTCGCGTACAGTTTTTTTCAGTCGAATTATAAATAAACGAAAACGGTGACCATTTTACAACTACAATAACTTCCACCGTAGAATGTCAATGAAATCATGTGATGTTTTGCTTACAAAATTTACAGAATATCCGACAGTCTTGCAATTGCATACAAATATCTGTTTGTTAAATTAAAATACAAAATAACATTTTTTTTCTAGGGTGTCTCATTCACTTTGCCTTCCGGATTCAGTTAAAATTACAATTATTATTTGTACCGACTCTCTCGAATGCCATAATAGCTGAGGGTTGATGATGGTGTGAATATCTCGGCAGTAGCAAATGGCTGTAGGATAAAGATTATCACCAGGTTTGGAAGCACCTAGAATTATCTCAGAGGCTTTCCTGTGTTTATAGTAGTAATACACTTCTCGGAAAACTCATAATAGACAAAACATGCCCTCAACTTAGGAATCGCGGAATTGGAGAACAAATTAAACAAAAAGGCGAGTGTCCAAAGAAAAAGTCGGAAGCTTTATGCAGGAACCCACCTAAAACACCGAGCCTGTAGTTGAGCGTTACCACGATGACACTCCCAAGGCTGGAAAACAGGCTGAAATCGTAGGCATTTCCAGATCCATGCTCGTAGGAGTCACCGTGAACGAAAATTAGCACTGGAAGTGCATGCTCATTGAGGTCCTCCGCACCTAGACGTGATCCAACGTAAAATGTCCATTTAATATCTGCCGAGAGTACTTCCCATTAGGTAATCTTGGACTAACCCTTAAAATTTAATAAAATTTGATTCTCTAAATGTAATAATATTCATTGCCTAAAGAAAGTACATTAATGTATATATCCATACTGCTTGTATAGAGGCGGTAACCAGGTAGGGTGAATATTGGCCGCTCACATCTGACAGTCTTTTATTATTAAATTACGTTTGTTTATTAGCTTGTAGTGTAAAATTAGCACCACTTGCAATGATGTCATATGAGCTTCAGATTTTGCCCACCTGACTGACAATGGTTATCAGCTATGTAGGAGAAGTCACAGGTATTGTTATCTAAAATGGTGCACATCTTCATCTTTTCGTCAATAGCTAGTTAGGTATCAGACAAAAGAACTTAGCTTTCGCGATACCGACCTTACGTCATGCATATTTTCAACAATACCAACAAATAGTTTTGCTTGAAGTATTACAAGAATTGCGGTCGAAGTGTGTGTTTATAACAATTGAAAGTGAAGGGAAGTAAAACGAGTTCATTGGCTGGTGTTAGGTTCAGCGATTAATCAGTCACTTAAAGTGCAGGAATGGGACATAAAGTGGAGTATTTTAACCCGGCATTTCATAGCAGAGGAAAACCACCAATATCCACTTAACTATGGTTTAACGGATGAATTATTTCAAAGGCTATAATTTTGATAGTGTGATTATGGTTCATAAAGGTTCCTTTTACCCATTAAAATTGGCCTATTTCTCTAAACAAAACAATGACTTGGATTTTCAATAAAAGTTATCTCGGTGTTTGTGAGCCAGCAATTCCCAAAAACGCAATTTTTGTTTGCGTTCCATGAGGCGCCAAGTGAACGGTTGAATTGAGATACTGTTTAGATGCTTTGTGTTCAATCAGAGCTGCAATCGGCCTGGTCATTACGATATCAACTTAGCTCTATTGAAAACGATTGTTTTCTACTCCTTCATTCTCTTCCTACAGATGAAAATTTCGCATTTTAAAAACAGTCTTACCTCTAAACCACTTTCCCAACTAATTAGCTCCTAATGCTACAGTGGTGTTCCAAATAGCCTCCCTCTTCTTCAAAATCGCTGCTACTCGCCATGAATAATAAACGAAGCTAATTTAGCTGCATCTGCTTTCCACTGGGCCACTTTATTGACGTACTCGGTCTGACGGTGTCTTTTCAGCAGCATATTGATACGATATCGAAAACTTGTCAGCTAAATTGGAAGCTCTCGATCAGAAGTAGATTTGTTTGGTAGCAAAGACGAATGAGAGCAATCGACTCCATTATATATTGTGTGCATGGAGCATTGCATTATCTCCAATGCAAGGTGTATATATATATATATATATATGTGAAAGGTCTTTGCACGAGTATAAAGACTGCCATCACCAGTAAGATTGAAATACAAACATGAAGGAGGCAGGTACCTACCTGCCCCAGGGACAAAGACGTTCAGTGTCAGACAGTCTTCCGCCTGAGTAGTGGGCTGCGGGTTTTGGAGGAGGTGGTGGGTGGAGGTGGTACTGGAGGCAGCCCTGACTGTCCACTCATCGAAGGACGTGTCATGTGCAGGCTGCACTCTACGCGGCTGTGGACACTCGGGTGGGGGTCCAGTCTTTTGCAGATGGCCGCGTGCCGGTGTCTCGTAAATAAATGCCGCAACGGAATGCATGAAGCGCCTCTTCGCGGCTTGGTGATAAAGCTCTCCCGACTCCGCGGTCCCAGTCCTCGAAACCATGCTGTTCCCCTCACCACCAAGAGACGCATAACGTAGACCGTATATTGCGTGCACAGGTTGCAGTTTCGGATCAGAAAAGCGTATCTCTACACCCGAAACTGTGACACGACCGTCAAGAGCAAAGTTGCGAATGGACGGGAAACGTGTAACGGTTATTGAATGTTGATCCGCGCATGTCAGATATACTAAAATGACTAGAGCTCTAGGCGTCGTGGCCATTCTAATTAAACAAACAAGGAATTAACACTGCACAGTCTGGATCTTCGTTGCAGTCTTTGCACGTGATTGGTCCATCTTGACCCGCCTATCAGGAAGCGGACAAGCCTTCTCTTAATTGGGAAGCAACATTCCCATCACCGCTTGAGTACTTTGTGGATGGGTAAATGACTGCAACGACTGGTTTATTTTCCACATTTTCCCAACTTCCTTCGTGGAAACTAACTTTTAAAGCTTGTGCGACATTTATATTAATGTTTAATGAACGATCGCCTAATCTATTTCATCAATTTTTAAAATAAACTGAAATGCATTATTGTTAAAATGCCACAAAACTATCATAAGGTTTTAATTCACCTACCATATTTACGAAACAAATGGACCTCACTAACTGTGCACTTATTTCTTGACTTAAAGCCATGACTGCTGTGCGTCTTGTTTTCTCCCAAAATATTCGCTAGTGGAGTAAAGATTGTTTAAATATAATATTTGTTGCGATAGACACTCCAAAGGCAGTTGAAAGTAGTTGGAAATTTCCCATTGGGTAATTTTATTTCCAGTGTGTTTTGTTGTAAAATTTTTATATCAATGAAGAACACTAATGTACATTCAAGAGCTAAGAAGTATTAACACTCCCAAATAAAGATTTATTCTTCATTTATCAGTGAATGGCTAGGACATAAAGATTTTACACATAACCATTGATTACAGTTTTGGAAATGTACCCAATTTGATGTCTGGCTTCCCAAAATATCACACCATTAAACGGAAATACTTTTCCCGAGCGATGAGGTCTCCACTCTCAAGTGTTGAGTTTTCCATGTTTTAGGCTAGGGCACCCTCCAAGATGGCAACTAGGACTTGATAATTGAGGGATCATTTTTATCTTCGATTGCAATTAAGAATCTTTGCAGGTAGTTCGTAAAACACTTTAATTTTTTTCTGAAAAGCATGCTAAACCGCTGCATTGACAGTACGGCTCACACTTTCGATGGAGGAATCGAAATCGACTAACATGGCGAGTCTAATGTGATGGCCATCAGACGCATAACAACAGAATTCCATTAAAATTGGCACAACAACGAAGGATAAAAATAACAAAATATGAGGGCATTTATTTTTGATTGGCGTATGATGGCAGAACGTTGTAAAGACAGACTGTTTTTGTGAATTATGATTTCTAACAAAAATGGCCTGTTTATGTCAAAAAGTCAAAAATATAAGCGGTAGGGTCCAAA